CCATTAATCGCACATAACATGTAAATTTTTACTATAATTTTGAATCTTTATAACTTTCCTAAAATCTTAGTACATTTTTCTCATAATATTTTTGCTCATCTGGAGGCGTGCAGCTTACAATGTTAACAATCATGTTGTTCAGTGTTGTTATATTTTTTCTGGTCCTTCGGGATCATTGTTACCAGATTTTTTAAGTTTTGAAAATTGAGTTCCTCTGAAGCTGGCGCTAGGGAGGCTTGGGGTTGCACTTTTCCATTATCCCTCATGTACATACTCAATCAAAGCGAATCTGAAATTTTCATGTTATTTTGTTGTGATTAGTGCTGCTAAGGGATCAACACACTGTACATATTTTTTTTCTGAACAGTGGTGTTTTGTTGCGGGTTACGTATTTATTGGCACTTCTGAAATATACACTTGATGCCTTAATCATGTATAATTGAAAAAATATTATCAAATGTCCGTTCCTTTTAACACGGAGACTTGTTATTGAAAATGGTTAAAGTTACATTTAATAAATTTCATAAAAAAACTAAATAGCGGCATTTCATTAATAAATTGGGTTTTATATCGACTCCAGGTCTTATTTTGGTGTCCAAACAACCAAAATGAGTTTTATTAGCATAAAAATAGGTCACCTCATTGTGGCGAAATGGGAAATACAATTTTTGTTTGCATGAGAAACTCCGCCTTCGGATCATCCGTACATCAATATTAAATCAACAAACATGACTATAAGTGGCAGTCCTAATATAACGGTATATGTCCGCATTGTAACGGATGTTTTCATACAAATTTAATCATTTTACGAGATTATTACTTTTACTGAACCCCAGGTTTAGTGCACCTTGAAGCTTAAACGGTTAAAGTGTGTTTGCACAAGAAAATATCACATTTGCTGTGTTCCGAATAGCAACTATAAAACTGTGACGTAGCGCATACACGAGCTCATTATAGTCTTCATTTGCATGTTAAAATTCGTATACGAACTTTAGTGGTACCGTGGGGTTTCCCGTTTAAAATCCTAATTTATGAACAATATTTGATGAGATTTACAACAATACTATTTAACAGGTTAATGAAACTGTAGAATGTTTGATTTTTAGGCCGACGGCAAAATATTTTTACATATTTATTTAATGTAACTTTAAAGAAACAGATAACATTGTATAGAAAATATTTGTGAATGTAATCTTACAGTTATGTAAATAGATGTTTACATAATTGCTCCTCGATATTTGTTAATATAGTTGGCAGCAAGTTGTGTTTTTATCAAACTCGAAATATTTGTGAAATATTGGCGCAAATGAACATCAGTATGATTGTTATAATCATTGCTGATTGTGTCCTTTGTTTTGATTGCCGGCTTTACTTATGATATGTGATTCATTACTAATATCCAGGAAATCAAGCTGAAATGATATAATTGTGCAGCCGGAAAAGAATTTCTTGCATATCAGACTGGCGTTTCCGTGAGTTTTACCCATGCCGAAATTTCTCCAGATGAGTCGCGTGCTGTACAATGGTACGGTTAGGATGACGTCATTTTACCGTTATAAATGAAGTTGTAATTCATACGCTGTTGTGAGAAAGTAGTTACGGTTGTAATGATATAAATTTTTATTGAAAATAAAGATAAAGAATTTAAAAATAATGGATTATGGAAGAATATGCAAGAAAAAATATCTGACATATGTTTGCGGTTCGGATCGGAATATTGTCCCTCGGTCACCCGCCCATGGGCGGGTCACCTCGGGGCGGATATTCCGATCCGAACCGCAAAATATGACAGATAATATTAACCTTAACGAATTTGATATTGACTTTGTTCTGTCAGGAGACACGTGATATTATATCTGAATCCTGACATTATAGTCTACTTTAAAAGTGACATTATATCCCATCAGGGGAATATAGTGAGTGTCAAAATAAGTAATTCCTTTCGATTAGACCACTCACTTCGCATGAACGATAAGTAATTCACATTGGCCAACATTTACCAATCATGTTACGTTCAAATTATAAAAAGTTTGGGGTATTTTTTTTATATCTAGGCGGATTTAAATGTATTATTAACATTTTTCAATAGCAACTGTTGGTCAATCATTTCTTTCAAAATATAAAGTTAATTCAGCTCAACTTGACAACGACAATTCGAGCATAATGACACTTTAACGTACACCTCTGTTATCAAGTACATCATTAGAAATGCTTTAAATTTAAATCTTATTAAGCGATCTTATTTAGAAGATATCATTTCCAAGATCAAAACAAATTCATAACTAACGACTGACTACCTGATTACAACTTATATTTTGCGTCAATATATCTTACTTTTATATGTTATACTGTATGCTTCATTTAGTTTTGATCTGTCCATGTCACAAGGTACTTTCTTGCAATGTTGCTACAATTGTTATTAATTAAGTTATGATCCTTAAGGGAACGTTCTTCGAGACAACATTTAATTTCAACATAAATTCCATTATGTCAAAGACAAAATAAAAACTGACAAGGTGCAAAATATGCATCTTAAATTACCGGTAACATGTTGGAATATTGCATTGATACGTATTTTGTGAAAATATGACGTATACAATATAAAGTGACGTTATGACGCTATTCAAATGAACCCGTGTAAAATTCGATATTTGTGTAAGTTATTATACAACATTAATCATCAATTTAAACTCTCATATAAACCGGTTTTTGTACTTTAAAGTAAAGTGTCTGTTTTTAATGCTAGACCACTTTTAACATTTAAACTATTATGAACGCAATGAATGTCAAAACTTGTTAATGATGTTGAAGCTATATGGCATATATTTTGTTTGGAATGATATATATTACAATATGGCAAGTGGAATTCACTGTTCCTCGTGCATTTGCCTTTATGCTGCTGAGCTAAATTAAGTAGCCTTTATCTCCAATGTAGTGCCCTGGGCAAGCCTGTACGTCTGTGCAGTCGGAAAAGGCACTTTTATGTTTGCTGACAAGCAAGTTTTCATTTTGATAGAATGAAGCTGTTAGTATCCATCACACAAATTCATAAGGGTAAGGGTTTACTTATTATAATTCAAATTGAATTTTTGGCTCGGATTTATATAAATCGATATTGTCGATATTGATATTATTGGTATCATTATTGACACGTACCATGATAACTAAAATAAATGGTCTTATCTTTCTTCCATTCCAGACATTACCATTGGAAAATTTCAAAATAATACTGACTGAATAGCGAACCATATAAACTGTAATCTTGGTCTTCTCTGGTCACCTGGGAATAAAATAATGTGTTGCTACCTGCAAGTCCAGGATATAGATGGTCCTTCTTCGGAGGATAATACAATCATCACGATGTATCTTGTATAAGAAGCGCTCAATTATGAAAGCAAAAGAATGGTTTTTGAGTTCTGTAACTTTTAATCCCATCGTTTCAAACACTTTTTATAAGTAATAATACGTCTATTTTTATTTAGAGTTTGATCATTATTTCGTGAAAGACCTTAATTGTTTTCTAAGTAAGTGTTCATTTTTGGAATTGAAACCAAGCGTCATTTGTAATCAAAAACGTTAAAAAGTCGTATAAACTGAGACATTTGAAAATTGCGTGACTACATCAATCGAGTTCTAGGTCTTTGCATTGAGAAACTTGTAGTTTAAGAGAAATATAATTTTAACGATCGGACTTATTAGAATGGATATTGCACGGGAATCTCGCGTAAGAGAACTAAGTTAACATCACTAATATAATTATCACGTCTAGACTGATGTCGCAAGCAAACGAGCCTGAACATATATTCTAGAATTTGATATCTTGGAAAATCAATTGTTGTTGTGAAAAATTCTCCATTACACGAAATTTGAAGAAATTACATTAGTCTGGGTTGGTTTTATCTTAACCCTACAGTATTAATGCGCTTCTATATATAGCAAACAGACGTGTTTTTGTTATCGTTTAAATCTCACCTATAATTGCAGTATGCAGGATGAATTGAAAATGAATTAAAAAAACAAACAATAGAACTCAAGGAAAGGAATTTTTGATATAACGTTAAATTGGGTTATTTAGTTGTTTATTTCTTCATTCTTTCTTTCTTAAATATTTTTTTCTTCCCTTCTTTCTTTCTTTCTTTCTTTCTTTTTCTTTCTTTCTTTCTTTCTTTCTTTCTTTCTTTTGTTGTTGTTGTTGTTGTTGTTGTGTTGTTTAGAGAAGTGTTGAACATATTTCAAACATTTTAATTCTGCATAATCTTTTCGCACAATTTATTACTTTTTTCCATTCGATTATGAAGTCTTAGAGTGTAATGGTTTGTATCACTTATCGTTTAAAGAGTAGAAATATAATTACTTTTGGAGAGAAATCTACAAATTATTCTTAGCATGTATCTTTAATCTTTTCCTTAACATGTAAGAAATCGTTTACTATATACGAGTATATAATGCACTCGAAAAAGCCCTGGCGCAAGGACGTCAACGGTTTTCACTTGATGCGTACACCAGCAGCTAAGCAAAATGAATTAACACTCTTAAAAAATTATTGCTATCTAATAAAAGGCATAGTTCATGTCGATTTAAATTATAATAGATAGCTACTGTTTAATAGCAATCGGAAAAAAGATGATATAATTTCAATTGTTTAAAATGTTTCAAGTCTGATGTGAATCAAGTCAAATCGGCACATATGGTTACGTGACAATCTTACATTTTGCTAAAGGGACCTTCTTTACTTTATCAAAACCAACTCTAGATTTAAAGCAGTTTAGTGACGAATGGTTGGAACATATTTGCAAACTGCAAATATTTCTGCAGAATGTTGTTACATATTTAGAAGCTAATTGAGTTCTACTCCAAGGTCCAATCTTGGTGACGAAGAACTCAGTGGAAATCCTTCTGTATTTTGATATAGAGATTATTTACCCAACTCAATTGGTTATAAATTTTAATGCGTATGTTGACATAATAGGTTATGCATATTAACAGCGCATGACGCCGACATGTCTGACGTCAGGTTAGAGTGACCACAACTTATTGAATGATTTAACGGCGTTCTTTTGGGGATATGTATTTTTTCTAAATGTATGCAAAAAAGACTCAGAAATGAAATATAGGTTTATGTTTCTTATACTGTTGATATTTTTATATAATCTTGCAATTTATAGAGCTACTGTATCTCTTTAATGACTGTTGGTAACCAACAGATGGTTGTATTATCGTATTGAATTGATTGGTGCTTCAATTGCTCTTTCAGACGTAGGCCCCTATATAGACGTATATTCAGATATTATTTCTACAAACAAGACTTAGTGTGCCCTTGTGCCCAACCCTGTTTGGTATCCTGCTGGGCTCCTTGCCGGTGGTCCTATGTTAGGAGATTCGTTCATTGTATGCTACCCTTCCTTGTCGATCTTGTTTTCCATATTTTAGTAGTTAATACAGTGTGATAATTGACATACAGTCAAAAATCGTTTCAGAGTATTTCTTCAATGTTGCTACCCGCATTATCGCAAATGCGGGTAGCAATTGCGATGAGGCAGACGTGTTTTTATAGAGCTCTGACAATATTTGCACATTACCTTGGATTGTAGCTTTATGTTGAATTATTATTTACAGCATGCTGACAATGAACTATCTGTGCATTTATATGTGTTTTTACATTTGTGCTTTATCAGTGTTAAAATGGATTACAAACCAAGAAATTTTACAAAATTTTCATTTTTTTCAACAAAGTGACATATTGAATATCGGAAATCAGTCAGCTGTAAAACGTACCTATAGCCGTGACCAGTTGTTGGACATCGGATTAACGGTATCAAACAATAGCGCACTATTTAGGCTTGATCAGAGTGTATACTGCACAATAAATAAGCTAAACATTTGCTGTAGGGTACATCGACAAAGGGGGAAAAGGGGTGGAAAATTGAAATCATTGAATAAACCACAGGGACCAAATCTAAACAACCTTATATATCCAAAACGAACAAATACAGTGAGTTGTAAAAACGAGAAGGTTACGTGTGCAACATTAAACTGTAGGTCTGCAATTAGGAAAGATTCTTTTATTGGCCAAATCTTACGGGAAGAGAAAATAGACTTTGCAATTCTTACGGAAACTTGGTTCTCCGATCATAAACAGCATCAGTTTGAAACCAGTGACCTAAACCAGTATGGTTATAAACTTAGTGTAACTAATCGGCCAAATAGAATAGGAGGTGGAATAGCATTAACACACAGAACTACTAGTAACAGTCGTAGAATATCAAACGGTGTCACACGAAGTTTTGAGTTTGGGATTTGGCAACTTATTCTAAAGAACATTACTCTGCATATCATGGGTGTTTATAGACCACCATCATTAGCAACAAACTCTCAATTCGTATCAGACTTCTCAGAGTTTATTGAGAATATAGTACCGCAATACTCTAATCTGATGATAATGGGTGATTTTAACCTGCACATCGATGACAGTAGCAGTGTGACGGCGGATTTTAAAGATTCACTTTTCGCAATGGGATTGACACAACATGTAGACTTCAGTACGCATATAGGTGGCAATATCCTAGATTTGGTTATAACAGAGGCAACTAACGGCGTGGAAGTACTGTTATGTGAACCAGGAACGTTAGTTTCAGACCATTATGTTGTTAAAGTTACATTGAATGTAAAGAAGGAAAATATCCTCAGTAAAACTTTCAAAACCCGATCTTGGAGAGATGTTAATGAACCTGCTCTCATACAAGAATTCGAAAACATCGATATTGACACAGATGATGTCGACACTTACGTAAACCGATTTGAGACAAACTTGAACATATTGTAACGATCAGGCCCATCATTTTACGTCCGAAAATAAACCCGTATCCGGAAACTACTTAAGTACTGAAGTAATTAACTCTACTTCATTGACATCAACTTTTAATCATCAAAACATACACTGCATGTACAGATAACTTCATCCTTTTAATATTTACGATGGTTATATTACTTAAAATAACTTATTTTCTACGTTGTAGCCGTTTTTATGATCAAATAGCCACACGCTGCCAATTTAAACATGGCAGCTGGCACTGGCTAAATTTCTGCCTGCGCGAGCTAGGCAGTGACGTCATCGGAGACGATGACGATACTGCCAAGCTAGGCACCCTAGCCAAGCTAGCCACCCAGCGTCCCAGACTATAAATAGCAGCCCGAATCTGCCAAAATTGTCAGTACCTTGGTAGAAAGCCACCAGACCACATCTATACTATATTGAATATGGATGTATCTCCAGCCACCAGAAAGAAAGATGTTAGCGCGAACATTTCTACACCAATAATTTCCTAATAGTCATAATTTCGCGCTTCTATAGAACAATGTATATCAGTATGTGATATGCTTTCACACTTTTTATTTAAATCTTTACTGTGTAATTGTGTTTTGTTTTCCAAGTAATTGATCATTTAAAATCGTTTATGTTTGTGTTTTTTTAATTGTTTGTTCAGAAAAACCAAAACATGCTCTGATCAGATGTCAAGACGTTAATGACGCAAACTGTGAAAAATTATGCACGTTAACGGGCATTCTTTTGTTTTCTATAATATGTCCGCTAGACAATGTCTTTTTTGTCTGTACAATAGAGTATTGTTTGACACTTGGTATTGAAAAAAGCTGTGAACTCCCACGATGATTGCAGTAATTTTCCTTTTTTAACCAGAGTGGTCTACGCGAATTTATGATTTTTGGCAGTCACCTCCGCGAATTCAAAATAGCGCGAATATTTGTATAGACCCCCAAATTGGACCTTTCCGCGAAAATTTGCTTCCGCGAATTTAAATACACATACAGTATATAATACTTTATGCCAGTAATAGTTTATATAGAAGCTTTATATTTAATCATCTAGTTTGGCAGTTTGGCATTATTTACCATTTATGATAGATCCTGACTGAAGACCAAGTTTCCTTAGCCATAATCCCATATTTTATAGTGATACCCATATACCAGGGTAGAACACCACTGTATTTTGTAGTTACCATTTTAGATACCCCAGCAACCTTATAGCATTTCATGGTAATTCCTACCATAGAATTTGTACCAGACCACAGGCAAGACGTGACACCGTATTTGTCAAGCCTTTCATTACATCTTATATTATACATTATTCTAGACGTAACAGAAAATTATTCCTGACATAAGACGAGGAGCCCAAGCCAGAGCCATCCACAGAAGATACTATATACCAATTTTATTGTTTGTGAAATGTAAATTTAATAAATTGTTGAGTTAATCTTATTTCAGGTGTCCGTATTTTTAGTCCTTGTGTCCCTATTTTCCCTTATCCATTTACGTGTGTTTGAGAAGAACCCACGTGTCGATATTGAAGTGTGTCCGGGCTAGCAGACCCCGGGTACGTTTCAATATTCTTAATGAACATGTACCCTTAACTGAAAAGACAAAAATATGTCGAGCACCTAAACCTTGGTTTAACGAAAACATTGTTGTCCTGAAACGTGAACTTCGAAAAGCGGAGCGTTTATGGACGAAATACAAAGAACCTGAACAGTTACAAACCTATAAGAATTTACGTAACAAGTACTGCCATGCCATCGAACGAGAAAAAACATTAACGCTCAGTGAAAAAGTGTCCAACTCTAAAGGTGATTCAAAAAAGCTCTACGCTCTGGTTTCTGAACTGACAGGAACAAAATCTGAAAATCCTATGCCAAGTGGAATAAGTGACAGCACTCTTTCGGACAATTTTGCTGATTACTTTATGAACAAAATCTCTAAAATCAGAGACTCCCTTCATGAGTTTAACAAAATACAAGCCAATTAATAAAAGCGTCCCAGTCCTTGATGAATTTAAGGAGCTTTCACAAGACGAAGTCAAACTACTGATAGGTGAATTAAACACTAAATCTTGTGAGTTAGACATATTACCTACACATGTTCTCAAACAATATATTACACATTTACTTCCAATTATCACTAAACTGGTAAAATCTACCCTTTAAAAACAAGGCGGGTTCCCACCCAAGTTTGGAAACAGGCTATGGGGTTAAACCCCTCTTTTGAAAAAAATGTGGGTTTGGGAATTACATAAAAAGCAATTATAGGCCTATGGATTTAATTTGATTTTTCTTTCAAAAGCTAAAAAAAAAAAAAGCAGTATTTTTTAAGACTTCATAAATGCCACCCCAGCACAATTTTTTTCCCCCAAAAAAATTTAAAATCCCATAAAAGACAAAATCATCATTGAACCCGGTTTTACTTGGGTTTTGGTAAATTTGCCCCCTCCCTTTTGGGGTTTATGGAACACCCAAGAGGTTTTACAGAAACTTTTATTGCCCCTCGACCATTAATTTCCCCCCTTTTGAATGTTTGATCATGAAAATCAAACTGGGTTTGTGGGTCAAGCAGCAATATGGTGTTAGTGACAACCGCCTCTTTTGGGTTTGGTTTCTTACTTAAAATTTTAAACCCCGTATTTTGTGTAGGGTTAGCGTTCAATTCATTTTTTTTAAAAATTCAATCGTTTGGAATGGGCAGTGTGACACGGGGAAGTGCCTAGGACCATGGCTATATCTTGCATATGCAGGAACACATTTTTGACCCCAATACCGCCCCTTTCAATTTGCTGTCTGTGGGTTCGCAGGAATGACACATTTGCTCAAAAAACGTTCAGGCTTTCACTCAAAAACCCAGTGAAAACTAAAGCAATTCAAAGACATCGAGAGAATTGTGCAATCACCATAAAAGACTGGCCTGAACCAGAATTAAGCTGAAAATGAACACTTCGAAAACCGAGTTTATCATTTTTGGAGCAAAAACGCCATCAACTTCACCAAATGCCAGACAACTGAAATTGACATCGCCGGTGACAAAGTCAGTTCGCGTAAAATGTATTCGTTACTTAGGAGCCTATCTAGATGAAACATTAAACCTTAAAGAACATGTAAAAAATAAATGTAGAACAGCCATGCTCAACTTTTATAGAATTAAGAATATACGCAACCATCTTACCAAAGAAGCAACAGAAACTCTTATCTTAAGTCTAGTGATCTCACATCTTGATTACTGCAATGTGATTTTGTATGGTATTCCCGATAAAGACATTTACAAACTCCAAAGGATACAAATCATGTGTGCAAAGTTGGTTTTAAAACGTCGGAAATTTGATAGTTCTAAACAGGCATTGTACGATTTGCATTGGTTACCTATTAAAGCAAGAATAAATCAGAAAATTCTAACATTCATGTACCAATGTTCTGTAGGCAGCGCACCGCTTTACCTGGCTGAACTTTTAAGCCGGCAGGTTCCAAAGCGACAAGGGCTCAGATCAGCTGATTTAGTAGACAGTGTTTACGAAGTGCCTTTTAATAAAAGAAAAACATTCAGTGACAGAAGTTTAAGTACGGCGGGACCGAAATTATGGAACCAATTACCAATAGATATTAGACAGTCTCAGTCTCTAGATGTGTTTAAACATAAACTAAAAACACCCACTTTTTCAATAACTTCTACTCATTGTTTTAATTTAATTTTTGGCTTTAACAACTACGGTGATTCAGAACAATTTGCTAAGCAATAATCTAGCACAATTGCTGTTGTAAAATTCAAGTAACTTCTGCGTTTTAGTCTGATATTTTTACATAACCTATGTGTTTTACCAGAAATACATGTATTTAATTTTTTAATGACTGTGTAAGAACCAACTATATTGTTATATGTTTTAGTTATTTTTATTCGTTTTTATGCTCTTTGTATTATGTGCTGGGTCTCTGATATTCTACGGTATATTTTAGGCAATATTTCTTTTTTTGTTTAAATTGTCTGTATCACTTTTATTATTTGTATTTTAGCATTTTTTGACGCTGCTTTCATGTTAAAACAGTATCATTATGGGATTTTAGTTTAAATTGTATTTTATTGTAAAACGACATTGAATACATGTTTAATTGTAAATAATAGGCGTTTAACCAAATAAACCAGTTTCAGTTTCAGTTTCAATGCAAAAGGTCTCCTTTTTTGTATTTTTGCTTTTTTACTCTCTTTCTACATCTGAACAAAATTATATGTCTAGATAAAATTAATTCTTTTATTGTTGTTGTTGTTTCTTTTTTTTATGCAGTAATTGTGCAATTATACCAAGTTGTAATTCTTGTCGAAGAAGAAAAATGTTCTATATAGTGACAAGGCATAAAATATATTAATATACAACACCGCTGTTTTAGATAGATAGTTTTTTTTTACAAACGATCAAATACGCATTCAGTTTGTATACCAATGACAAATCTCCAATCAAAATTCATAAAGGTACTTATTTCTTCAGCTTGTAGACTATTTTAGTTGCTTATAACAGTAATAAATCAATGTGGTTTAGTAAGTACACTATTCACGCACTAACCTGAATGACCTTACTAAACATAAAATATATGTTATGACTTGATATATATTGACTTTTTCAAGCTTCGTTAAATAAAAAAAATGCTCAACTATGTCATTAAAATATTATCATTAACAAGGATACTTACATCACAAGATCAAGTTATCTGTATCAAAAAATGATCAAATGTATAATTCCTTTTAATTTTATGCTTTTGAGTGGATTACTAATTTATCCGTGAAAATTTATTTGATAATTTCACAGTGAAATTATAAATATACAATTTCACACATTTCAATGTCGAGACTACTTTTTAAAGATTTTCCCAGTGTGGTACCTCAGTTTTATTGTTTTCTGTTTTTATTAGCGGAAAAAAGCTGAAATTGATAAAGAACTTAAATTTCAAAAGTAATAAAAAGAAAAATCTTTCTTCATTTCATTCAAATTACCAATCTCTATTTTTTTGTTTCATTTTTGTCTGAAAAGTACACTTCATTCCACATGCAAAACTGTTCTTGGTGACATTTGGGCATATTTAAGTATCCTACTAGCAATAACTGCCTAATGCAATATGAAAACTTGAAAAGCAATGACAGTCATCCGCCTGAAGAATAAGTAAACAACCAAGCGTTCGTAACAGCCTTTCAACAATTCCATGTTTTCCAAATTATTCCTAGCCGCTTTTTGAATGTTAACAATTTGTCAACAATTATTTATTGTCTGTTACAATCCTAAAATAAGTTTAATTTCTTATATAAAAAGAAGTATGACTAACAAATCCAAATTATATACCTCTGAATCAAACCGATTATTTTCGTCCCGTGAAATACACAACTTTTAAAAATGGCGACCGCTTATATTACACAAAGCCTGATCAAATATAAATTAGCTAACAAGCGATCATTCAAATTTTTTGTATAAAATAAATAATATCATCGCCATTTAACGCTGATTGTCGAACTTATTTTTCAACTCAAGACTTCTTGTTTGAGAAATTCGACTAAAATTAAGACTACCAGTGAGGGAAACAGATTTTAATATTAAAGTTAATGTTGAGGAAATTTCATTTAAACTTGTTTTTTAAGCATAAAATAAAAAAAATGTTTTTTTTTTGTTGTGTAAGATGTACTTTTATTTCATCTCGTGAACTTTAAAAACAGTATTCTCAGTCGTGGCTACGCCATTCGTAAGAATACTGTTTTAAAGCGCATTCTATGAAATAAAATTTCATCTTACATACAAACAAACAATTATCCTCTATATTATCAGACTTAAGATGTTTATGAATAAAAATTCGATTTAAACATTTAAAAAATATGATTCATTTTTTTACTCAGATTATTGAAGATTTTTTATATAGTGTAATCCACCGCCATAAAAATAGCATAACATACTGCGGAGTGCCAGACGAAAACACGAAAATGCAACAAAGTCACCATTTTGTCGTACTCTCGCTGCGTGGCGCGCCAGGCGAAAATACGACGGTATAACCACTTTATCGTATATTTGACTGCCGCCAACCACCTTTTCGTATATTCGTGTTTTCTTCTGGTGCCCCGCGGAGCGGAAATACGACATTGCAGAAATCAGCCACCACAGACTATGAAAATAATATATATTACAATTATATATATAGGTTCTGTCACTTTTTGTCAATAACATGTTTTAAAGTGTCTGTCTATGTAAGTTTTGTTTCGGTACAATAGTGTTTGTAACAAGAGATGTTTATTGTATATTAGTTAACAAGTTGTAGCACATCATCATTATAAATCATAAAATAGCAATTAATTCTATTTCATTGTCATCACGACACATTCTAATTGCGGGTTTGTCAATTTCTGTTATATCTCTCAAGTTTCGGAATCGCATTGGGAAATCAAGGATTGCTGTTATCGAATTCTCGAGCTGATAAAAACGTACTGGAACTTTTTTCCCGCGCATTTATTGCGCAGACGACAGTGTGAGGTGAAATTGGCAATGGAATAAGTTGAAATTATACAAAGTGTTTGACTTCCTTTAGAGAATTTAAGCTTCGACAAAATTTGTTTTTAACGCACATAGATGAAAAAATATAAAAGACGAAGTCAAGGATAATTTGACAAAGCAGTAAGTATTTTTCAATCTTGTAATATTGTTGTTTTATTTATTGACGATAATTTTGGGTCGGAAGGTTTACTTACTAGAACTGCAATTTATACTATTTCGCACCCTATTTGAGCAGACGACAAAGAAACAGGCGATGTTAAGAAATTAGTTTAATTATACTAACTTTAGCTTCTTTGTTAGAAAAATACCGTATTGAATCGATTGAATTTATACCAAAACTCGATTACTCTAGAATGTATAAAAATGATTTTTGTTTTGAAGAGTATCTTAATATTGTAGATAATAGTAAATTAAGGAGACAACTTTCAACTTTTAGGCTACGTTCTCATAGATTAGAAATTGAAACTTGAAGATATATTGGGGTTGAAAGAAATGCAGCATTATGTAAATTTTGTTCTAACAAGCTGTTGAATCGGAGTATCATTTTCTTTTATGCTGTCAATTATATAGAGATTTAAGAATCAAATACAAGTCGCCAATCTAAATAAATTTTCTAGAGTAATGACAAATATGAAAAGGAAAAAAACTTATCATTTAAGCAAATTCTTAAGAGATGCATTTGATAGAAGAAAGAAACAATTATTATAAAAATTTAAAAAATCTAAGATATTTGCCTTGATTGGTATTAAATAAAATTATTGTCGATATACCTAAAATAATCCAAAAACAAATGTATAATATTCATTCAATGTATGTTTGATTTTGTTATATTTATTATTGTGTTTTTGTCATATGTATATTTATGTTTGTATTGCCAAAGACAGATATCTGCCGAATTGCAAATAAAAGTTTGACTTTGACTTCGTATCTCTAAGACTACAAAATCAGACAACAGTCAAAATAAGCGATGTCGTCGGCGGTCGTTTTGTTTGTTCGTTTTTTGTTTTTTTGTTTTTGTTTTTTTTGTTGTTGTTCTGGTTATAATTTGAATCGTCGTTATTTTCGTCTTCGAAGCAAACCATAAAAACGTTTATTTAATGCTTGAGCAAGATGTTGATTCTGAGAATGCAAATAACTTGAAAAATTTGGCTTTTTGCATAAAAAGACATTTTAACAAGCTATGGTTAAGCGCATGTATGGATCAACCAGTTTGATTTATAGACACCTTTCTTTTACAGTTTTACGGAAATGGTATACTGATATAAATTACACGTCGTCGTCTAAAAACGTATAGCAATTTTAAACATAATTTTAAATGTGAAAAGTATTTTGATTAATCACAGACAAAAATCATAGATTTGCTCTGACTAAATTTATGAACGTCATCACATAGCTTATGTATAAAATCTGGTCGAAATGAAAACATACCAAGATCAGAAAGAATATGTAAATCTTGTTTGATGAGACAAACTGAAACAGAGTATCATTTTTTTTTTAGTCTGTTCACGTTATTGAAACTTGAGAAAAATGTGTTTTTAGACCCTATTATTGTCTTCGGTCGTCTGTTATCAAATCTGAAAGTCGAATACCATCTAATTCAAAGAAATTTTATATGTCCTCTATCAAAATATACATTTTTATGATTTATTAGTATTTTTAAACATGATTATATTTAGGTTTGCCTCTCTATGTCATGCCGCCAATGCAAAAGGACCACAATGGAAATAAGTGTTTTGCCCTTTTTTGTGTTATCCTTGATTTTGGTGAGCATGTCATAGTTTTCTCGTATGTGATATAGTATTTAAAAATCCTAATTATTTTATCCTATGTTATATTGTCAACTATGTATATGCTTCCTTTGCCGAAATAAACCTTTCTATCTATAAATTCATTTACTTGGCAAATAGACAACGTAGTTCATAATATTTGTTTTGACAAAATTATACCTGAAAATGAAATGTTGAATTTTTAAGTTATTTTTCTTTTTCTTTTTGGATTTTTCATATTTTAATCAGATATCGATATAATAATTTTGTACCATATTAAAAGGAAGTTCATTTCTGTAAAGTTTGTCGTGTTACAATGTTATTTTGATAATGTGTATTAAAATTTTTTTAAAAGAGAAGATAAAATACAATAAATGTATGTGAGTTTGAACACTGTTTATGTTTTATTTGTAATCTTTTCATTTACATGATAAATTACAATAAAAAATAATTTTTACGGATTAAATAGGAAGCTTATGTATCACACTAAATACTTTTAATGGATGTTTCTATTTTTCAATCTGGATAAAACGATTTCTTTATTTTAAAGAAAATTTCAAAAAATAGCAAACAGTGCAGACCATGACAAGACCTTCGACTTTCCTTCATTGTAATTTTGTTATTTAGACTTTTCACCATTGTAATTTTGTGTTTTCGTTGTGAGTTGCGATGACCGTAACTGTACACCATAGTTTCCAGTTTCTTTACTTTATTTTGTAGCTTTTTGAACTGCAATGATTCTACCCCTGTACCAGAATAACAAATTGAAGATAACTTGCATTTCCTTCCAAATTATTGTTACATGATCATCTGTGTTGATGCGATATGATTCACAACAGACTTAAATAATTTTTGATTAAGTACTATTTTTATTACTGCCAAATCTATATGCCTTACATTTAATTTCAGGTTACAAGAATGATCGTAAACACGATAATCAAATTTGCGTTTCCACTGTGCTGTATTATGTACGCGGAGAGTAAAACTGTTGAAGTTCTTGGTGCGGGAGCTTCTTTTCCGAGTGCAGTCTATACACAGTGGATACATTCCTACAGGTAAATTGCAAGGATAAAGGGATATTAAAAGGAGATACACTGAGGCCGAAAATCCTTCAGGATAAGACCTTCATGTATATTAAACTCAAATTGATATTGGCTCATTTATGACTTTGACCTTTAAGGTTTAATGATTGAATTTTCACTGATGTTTGCTTTAATTGACTGTTACTTGGTAATTAATAAATGAATTGTCTTCATATTTGGACAAAACAACCTTCTGGACAAAACCTTTTAAAAAATGAACTGACCTTGAAATAGAGCTTTAATTGACATTGACGGTCAATGTATAATTATTCAATTTTGGTTAAGTTGTCTTAATTTTGTTATTTATGTACACATTTGAATAATACTTCGACAATACAAGACTTTCTATCAAACAAACACATTGAATAATTCAAATGTGACATTGACCTTTAATTAACCTTGACCGTCAAGATCAAATTAATGTTGTATGCATGTATTCTAGGCTTAATGAGGAAATTCACTTGTTTAATCTTATAGCAATGAGCTTTTGACTATTTATACATTTTTAGATGTGAAATTAAACTTTGATATCAGCTGATTTAGATTTTGATGAAATGAACCTTATTTTGAACTTTGATATCAGCTGACCTAGATAATATGATGTACAGCTATGTAGTTTGGACCATGTGCACAGTTTCAGATGTAAAATTGAACTTTTATATCAGCTGACCTAGATAATATGATGTACAGCTATGTGATTTGGAGCATGTGCACAGTTTCAGATGTAAAATCGATCATTGAACATTATGGTTATGCAAAAATATTGAAATTTAAAAATAAAGGAAAACTTATTTTCTTTAATTTTCTTTTTTTCAAGATTAGTTTAAACATTTCATTTTTTTTTTTTTTTTTTTTTTGCTTTTATTAAAAGTAAAAAAAGTCGAGCGTTGTCCCCGCCCGGCGTTGGTTTTTGTTTAAATTGCATCCGTCGATATGTAAACGCACTTTCATTCGTACATACCCCAAGTATAACGACGACAACAACAACAACGTTTGTTATACATACGTAAGAGCATTATTAATGTAATCTCAAATGAAAAGGGTAAATAAATGTAATTACACAAAATCTCGCCTCTCGTCTAATGGAGAATGTTTTATCATAAATACTAAAATCGAATTTCCAAGATTTTAGATAAGAAATACAAAAATATGTTTTCCTCATTTGCTTACAATATCGGCTTGTATCTGATTATTCTTTTATTTGCATCACATAAAGCTCTTGCACGAAATGTTCCGAACAATACATTTATCTTTCCCTGAAAAGTCTGTGTGATTAATAGAGAAAGAATTAGAGATTGTTTAATCTTGACTTACAATCATTCTTCAATTCTTCAAATAGACTTTGTAATAACTTATGACGCATAAGACAAGTTCCAGGAATTAACAATACGCGTCCATTAATGGCCCTTAAAGTTACACGCCACCAGATAAGCAAAAAATCAAGAAAATCAGACTTAAGAAATATGCAGTAAGATTTTATGACAAATAAAAATATTTACGATTCAAGTAATGATTTACATGTTACCTGTAATGACAGACTGATTTTTTAGTATTTATCACCATATTTCTACTGCGTGACTAACGCAGTAAAGGCCTTTTATGTATATGTTTTCAAACATCAATTTGGCAATTTACTTGAATTGAAAATATTGTCAATTACTTTCTTCGTTCACTTGAAAATATTTTGCATGTTGATACATTTTCAAATTTTTTCATGAAAATTAGCATGAATTTTGAGGCGTGCTGCTTTAAAATAGTTTATTATTGATTACAATTGCGCTTGTTACAAGTTTTAAAAATTGATAATATTTTTAAACATCAATACCATGCTTGTTTTAGCTTTTGGTATGCCAGCTTCACACACATATCATGGTATAAAGGTTTAATATTTAACTATGTACTTATAGCTGTAATCATTTCAGAAACAAAACAGTAAAACATGAATTAAGAAAAGGTAAGGATCAGTTTGTGTTAAATCTTTCAAGACAAGAATTTCAACCCCTAAACAATTACTAATGATACATTTTTCTAGAAAATGAGGCAATCAGCGTTTGAATTTCATTTGAATGATGTACTTTAGAAATTGTTATCGTTTAATGACTTCATCAGGACCAAATACAGCAGTAAGAAAGTCATCTGACATTTAAATAATTAAAACAAAATAAAACAGAAATATTGTAGTTTCAAGTACGACGGATAAAGACAAAAAATTAGACGCACTTATTATAAACGGAACCATGTTATGTTCTTGATCTCGAAAACAACATCGCTACTAAATCGGTTCGCTTCGTTAGCTATAATTCTATACAAGTCCCTAATGGTTAACAAGAGAAGCGGAAGGGTATTAACATCCCGGCTACAATATCAGAATGAAATGCGAAATGCGATCCTGATGTTATCGCGTGTATTCTGATAATACTTTCATGACTTAGCACGATCAATCTAACACCGGTAGTGTCGTCTGCACAATGAATTAATGTACTCTTATAATGATATGTTAGAAATAAAAACTGATTAAAATGATATGCAAAGCAGGGGAAGTTACAATTTATAAAACTGATCTGTTCAATTTGGCATTTGTCACAAAATTATGGCTAAAAGCTTATGAGTGTCCTTTCCCAGTTACAACAATTTACATTAGCACAATTCATGGTTGAAATTAATTGAAGTATTTAAAGGCATTCACATAAAAGTCAAATATTTTACAATGAAACATGTGTAAAAGCAAACAGTAAAAAGGGGAAAAAAAGAGTAAAAAATAAAGCAACTATTGTTCATATTTATTATTCTAATCAAGAAATCTATAAAAACAAATGGGATTGCTCAAAAAATAAATACCGTGCTATTTTCGTGTCGGTAGGATATGAATGTATGAATATGACCGACCTGTCTATTTTCTGTAATGTATATCTTATAAAAATAGAACATCGCGTGCCCGAGTGTAACCAATTACTCGGGCACGCGATGTTTTTTTTTTTTTTTTTTCAAACGCTTCGGACAAGTTATTTAAAGATTGTTGGCCACGTGCATACCCATACAAGGAATGCCGATGTTGCCTTGAACAATACACTTAATACAAAAACGTATATTCGGATATGAAACTAACAATAAAATAGCCCTTCTGTTGTTTTTGTTGTTGTTTTTTTTCGGGTTGGGGGGGTGTATGGAAGTCAAATACTATTTTGTTTACAATTTGCTAGTTTTATGACATATTATTTTCCATTAAGCGCTTTTTCCTTCTGGTAACAATCATCTAACATGTCCTTAAACCATCATTTAACGTTAAAACTCATGTTTGACCTTTCTTAACAAGCAAATATTTAAATACTTATTATATTCTGAAGCATAATGTCCCTTTAAATCCTTTAACTGTGTAATACGAGGCGTCAAATACTGAAATATAATATTACAACATTATTCTTTCCATCAACACACATTAACAGAAAGAGAAGATTTACAATACTTCATCTTTACATTCAGGTACTCTTTAATGTTTGTTATGTACTGTACGAAATATTACTTAACAAATTAGTTTCATCTAGACAAATGAGGTCCAAAATTAATATACATTTGTATACATGTATTGTATTTTTCCTAAGTCATAGTTATGCTGATTATTTCACTTGCTGGCACAGTTTTAAAGCCAAAATGGAAATCTAATTTTAAGTTGTTTCTTTGCAAAACCTGAAATAATTGTTCTACATGTACATGCTTTCCTGTTGGTTAAATGTTATATGCAAAAAAGCCGATAAAACTACAAATGCACAATGTGAAATTTTTAATAATGTCTATTTGCAGACGACACCGTGTCCGCCATGTTGATCTTTATATGAGATACGACAGTATCGGAAGTGGTGGCGGAAAAGCCCGAATCAAAGGGGAGCAACTCCCAAAGGTGCATTACGCAGGGTCCGACATTTTACTCACAGATGAAGAGCAAAGAGCAAACCCTGATCTTATAACGTTTCCAACAATGGCAGGGTATATATTCCACATATTTAAATATCAATTCAAACTTATTTTATACATAAACTTTGACAAATACCAAAGGAACGGACTTCAGGCATTATTTGAAAGATATTTATGATTACAAATCTGAGCTAATAATTTTGTTTATATATTAATGTACACATTATGTTTACCTTTGAAACAAAATAGAACAGGGCAGTCTAATGGACAGCTAAATCCCCTTCCGCAGTGAACAAGAATGTGTACTTCTTGACCTTTTACCAACCATGACCTTGACGTGTGCCATACATATCATAAGCACATAGTTTAAATCATTTAAAATCTTCCATAAAGTCAAAATGTTATGGATAACATATCACCTTGACCTTGGGGGAAGCAACCTGGATGTTGAGCTCTGCAGATTGTGGCATGGTAGGGATCATTTGTGTCAAGTGATTTTAAAACTTATGTATTGTCAATAAGTTAGATGTTTTTACATTGGACCTTTGGGTGTGACTCTGACCTTAAGGGTTGTTACTTGATTATTGTGCTCTGCCAATGGTGTCATAATGGTGATCATGTTGTATCAAAAACAGTGTTGCAGTGGTTTAAATGTTCTGGAAAGACACCAAATGTAGACTTTCTAACATTTGACCATACATTTGCCCTGTATATGCCAACTTGACCTTAGATGTAGCAATTCAATTGCACTCACAATGGTGATCACTTGTGCCAAGCTATTTAAAAAAATCAGAGTTATGGAGGGGCAGGAAATGTAAACTTTTTGTATACATTTGACCTTTAAGTGTGACCTTGACCTTGGGGTTAGCAACCCAATTATTGCGCCTGGCAATTGTTCTTATAACGGTAATCAATTGTGCCAAGTTATTTTTTTAAAAAATCAGCTATTAAAAAGTTATGGAGTGGCCACAAAATGTAGACTTTTTAACATTTGACCTTCAAGTGTAACCTTTGGGTGGCAACCCAATAATTGCACTCTGCACGTCGTCTCATAATGGTGACCAGTTGTGCCAAGTTATTTCAAATAAAAATTCAGCGGTTAAAAAGTTATGGAGTGGACACTAAATGTAAACTTTTTATTACGAAATTAAGACTTTTTAACATTTTACCTTTAAGTGTGACCTTGAACTTGGGGGTAGCAACCCAATTTTTACGCTCTGCACATTGTCTCATTATGGTGATCGCTTGCGCCAAGTTGATTTTTAAAAAAAATCATCGGTTTAAAAGTTATGGAGCGGACACGAAATGTAGACTTTTTAACACTTGACCATTAAGTGTGGCCTTGCCATTTGGGGTAGCAACCCAGTTGCGCAATGCACATCGTCTGATTATGGTGATCACTTGTGCCAAGTTATTTGGTTTTTTTTCATTGGTTTAAAAGTTATGGAGCGGACACGAAGTGAAGACTTTTTATTAACAAATGAAGACTTTTTAACATTTGACCTTTAAGTGTAACCTTGACCTTGGGTTAGCAACCCAATTTTTGCGCTCTGAGAATCGTCTTATTATGGTGATCACTTGTGCAAAGTAATTTGAAAGATTTTTCATTGGTTTAAAACTTATGGAGCAGACACGAAATGTAAACTTTTATTATGAAATAAAGACTTTTTAACATTTGACATTTAATTGTGACCTTGACCTTGGGGGGTAGCAAATCATTTTTTTTTCGCTCTGCACATCGGCTTATTATGGTGATCACTTGTGTCATGTTATTTGAATTTTTTTTCATCGGTTCAAAAGTTATGGAGCAGACACGAAATGTAGACTTTTTATTATGAAATGAAGACTTTTTAACATTTGACCTTTAAGTGTGACCTTGACCTTGAGGGTAGCCACCAAATTTTTGCGCTTTGCACATCGTCTCATCATAGTGATCACCTGTGCCAAGTTATTTGAAAAAAAATTCATCGGTTTAAAAGTTATGGAGCAGTCACTAAAATGTTACGGACAGACGGACGGACTGACAGACGGAGGCCATTCCTATAATCCCCTTTCCGCCACGCGGAAGGGAATTAATAAAGATACATAATTATAAACGCCCCAAACAGCAAAAATTGTGTCGTTTAAAACAAGTTTTGATTTTTACTACACTTACTTTTTTCAAACAACCTCTTTCCGATATATAATAAACATTAAATTTTCAGGAGAATGTTTGATCTTAGCAAAAAACTTTTATCAGTTTCCATGTACTAGTATCATCTGATCTAAAAGTCGTTCATTTTATTTGATGACCAACATGTTTGTTATTATCTTTATAAAACATTCCATTTTTTTCATTAGGGCAATCGTAATAACATACAACATTCCCGGCCTCAATCGTCTAAACTTAGATATGGAATCTGTTACAGCGATATATAACGGAACTCTTACAAAATGGAACGATCCTATGATAGCAAAATTGAATGCGGGAACACTACTACCAGATGTAGAAATAATCGTCATTGCCAGAGCGGACAAGTCGGGAACGACAAGAGCTTTCACTTCCGGTTTGTCGTCGTTTAGTCCTGACTGGAAAACTACGTATGGAACATTCTCAGAGGGTCGTGATAGAAACACCATGCATTTTACCAAGTGGAAAAACGATGTTGTCAAATTCTTTGGGCAAGGAAACCGTGGAATGTCCGGGCTAATACTTTCCATCGATTATACAATTGGTTATATTGCCATCGCGGACGCCATTTCATCAGGACTACAATATGCGAGACTCGTAAATAGTGCTGGCAATTTAATAAATGCAACTGATGACACTGTCCAAAACTCTATTGTATCAGCAAATGGATCTTACGACATAACAAACACACCAGGGGAATTTGCATATCCACTCGCATCATTTACATACTTCATTGTACAAAGAACTGGACTGACAGACTGCGATGCAGCAACTGAATTGATTCGTTACATCAACTGGTTTTATTTTACGGACTCGGCTAAGAATATATTGATAAGCCACAATATGGTACCGATGGATAATTATTCCGCAACGGAAGTCGTGAATAAAGTAATTAAAGGTATAACATGTAGAGGTAATAACGTATGGACACTCATGCTGCAGCAGATTGAAGAGGAGAACAAAATCATGGAGACCAAATCGTGGCAGCTCCCTGTTCTACTGACTTTTTGCATTGTTCTTGCAGTTGTAACTGGCCTTGGTGTACATTTTGGTCGACAGCAAATTTTCATTCATAGAGAACTACTTAAAGATTCGTGGAGAATTGATGAACGAATGATATCTCTAGATAGGGACACACTGATTGATGGCAAAATGAACGGCAGCGAATCACGTAGCTCTTCCATGAAGGATGATCTACTGATTCATGAAGATATTGTCTTCACTCAGAACTGCCCCACAATATATCAAGCCTGTGTGGGCGCATTTAGGGATCAACCGATAACAGTGATAAAGATGAGAAAACATAACATTGACTTCACACTTGCAGTGAAAAAGAAATTGATTTGGATGCGAGATGGTATCAAACATGCAAACGTTCTGCCGTTTTTTGGTGTAACAAAGCTTGATGGAAGGTGGAATATGGTACACCATGAAATCTTCCTAGGTTCCTTGAGTCATATTCTTAAAAGTGAGAAAATAGAAATTCACACGGAAGGGCTGATTGCATTATCTAAATCGCTTGTAAATGGTTTGTTGTACCTACATCGGAAAGGAATAGTGCATGGTCATCTTACAGGAATGAATTGCTTGATCGATACTTCATGGGAACTTCGGATAGCAGGGTGGATAGAATCGAATATTGAAAATTCCACTAAACCTTTCCACAACAAAATTTCATCAGCAGAATCTGTAATCGAGGAGGACAAAATATCACTTCTGTGGGTTGCACCGGAAATTGTAAAATTCAGGCGGGCACCTACACAAACATCAGATATTTACAGTTTAAGTATGGTATTTCAGGAAATGTTTACAAGAAAACAGCCTTACTATGAATTGTCAATGACTACGGAAGAAATTATTAATGCTGTTTTGACATGCGGTATACGTCCACATTTTTCGACTGAAACTCCATTGATTTTTCAATCAATTATGGAGCAATCCTGGGAAATGGACCAAGCCGCACGACCAAAGTTAGAGACAATTTACAACTCAATAAAAGCAGCTTTCCCATCGAAATATTCATTTTTGGATTGCGTGATTCGTTCTGTTCAGTCCTATGCACGAAAACTTGAGGAAAAAAATAAAGGTGATTCATTACATATTTTATTGCAATTCTATGGCCTCTAAGCCGTTTCTTTAGAAATAATGGTGATTCTTACTCATGTGTACAAATACGGAGCATATGAACGGATAATAATCCGTTCATGTGTTGTTTTAATATGCGAGACTAGGGCGCCTTGATAAATAGCTAATTAACTGTCAAAACATTGGACTTGCATGTGAAACGACAACAAAACTGGTTTCTTTACGAAAATAAATAATGAGGCGCGGAATCGATTTAAATCAATCTTTGTTTGCTTATTGATTTTTTAATATCTGCATAAGCCCTCTGACTAATTAAATTCCTCGTCCTTCGGGCTTGGGCTCCATATTCATGCTCTGCAAGAATGAGTTTTATTGTTGTGCTTGTGGTATTTTAAGTTTCAACTTTTCGGCATTTTCTAGTTGGGTGGTTCCAATATTCCTACTTGAATAATGTTGAATCACCCTTAGGATATGTTGCCTGCTTTTTAAATTTGTCTTTTGATGTCTTATCTGTGATACGCAGGCTTCATAACCTATGATCCCCTTTCAAAATTCCATTTTATTTAGTTCCGCCCATTGTTTTCTCGTTTAGGGCACAAGCTTTTTATTACTTGGGGACCATACGCCGCTTTTCATGGAATGGCACGGAAGTGTCACATTGAAGGTTCCATGATAACCGCCGTATGAACACATCTGCGGATGTTTCTAAATTCAAAATTTTACTATTTCACGTTTAAATGTTGAATTCTGCTTAAGCCGGTGCTAGGGGGCGTGGACGGTAACTTGCACTTTCCAGTACCGTCCATGAACAGGCTCAATCAAACCGAGCCTGCAACATTTTCAATTTTGTCGTGTTGGGCTTTCTTTAGGGATTCTGTATTTATCTATTTTAATCTTCTTTTATTATCCGTTGTTGCACATTGTATTATCATTACAGTCTTTTCGACTGATTCACTAAATACAATTATTGTACAGTTAGGCCACTAACCTTTACACAAATTACAGAATGCATGTTAAAATAACACAGTCATGTAAGGCAAAAACATGATAGGTATTTTGTCAAATAATGCTAACAGTTAACTAAAGATTTGAGTAACAGCATCCAAAAGATAATTCAAATAGAAACCAAAATTTATTTTAAATAATTTAGTTGTGTTCGCTTTACTTTTTCAGATCAAGAATTTGAATTGAATGAGCTGCGCGAAAAGGTTCGACTTCAAATGACCCAAAATATGCCATTATCTGTTGTAAATAAGATAATAACAAAAACCAAAGTAGGCCCGGAAGTCAAAGACGGTGTCTGTGTTTTAGTATGCCGGCTTGCAAACATATCAACAGAAATAAATAACATAACTGCTTATGGACTTGTGAATGTTCTCAACACGTTCTACACCGGTACAGATCAGTTATTACTGGGGAAAGACATATACAGGTTGAATAGATGCTGTACTGAATCGACCTTCATTGTCGGTCTAACGAGAAAGGAAAACATGGAAAGTGCAAAGAAGGTAATTGTGAATGCGGCTTCCGTGGCGTTACAATTAAACACATTTGCTGACAAAATCAATAAAGAAAATAATACTTATACAAACTTGGATTTAAAATTACAAACTGGGTTAGCGGGAGGTTCAGTGATTGTCGGATTTATTGGAAATGTATTTCCACAGTATGTGGCATTTGGAGGTGTCATAGAAGAGTCATTAGAACTAGCAAGGAATGCACATCCGGGTGAAATAGCAATATCCGGGCATGTTCATTCCTGTTTAAAGGATATAGAGTCAATAAAAACAAAAGTGTGCATACGGAAAGAAGTAAGTTATGGTTTTTATTCCTTCCCATTTATCTTAGCGATCACATCTAAGAAAGCTATTTTAATGAATCAATAACTTTTCTAGGAAATTTCATAATATATCTTCATCAGGATATTGTAAACATTTTAACACTTTTTTGTGGGCGTTTGAGGTTTAGTCAGACCAACACTATGTAAATAAAGACCACTTTCCAACTTAACTGATAGATGAAGACCTCAGGTGCCCCATCCTTGCATTATTGTAAACACTATCGATCTCGAAAGTAGAACCAAATACTTTAGTAAGCTACATTTTGTATGTTTAGATTCCTCACATACAAGAATCCGAAGTCTTTTGCGGAATTTGAACCAACAATGAAGAGGGACAAGTGGTTCGGAGACAATAACACGGCAACGGAAGCCCTATTTGATACTTTCTTTCTCCAAATGATATTTTCTTATTTAAAGCAAGTTAAACGTTGTCTGTGTACTTGTTTTGTTGCACTACAGTCAATAACTAGACACACGGTAACTCTCGTTCGTCTGGTTTTAGTTTATACTAATTAACTTTAGTTTGATTATGTTGGAAGCTATAAGATTATTGAACCCCTCTCTAATCCTGGAACCAACCAAAACTTAACAATGAGTGTAAGGTTTCTTGAACACGGAATCAACAGCTTGACATGATGTAAATCCACGCGGTCAGCAATCCTTATATGACTTGCCCGACTCGGCCACGACTCTTGTGTTTTGTCAACGAAAGAACGAAAATAAGCTGCTTATTTAACACTTTTGTAGAAAACCCCTTTTTGATGACTTTGTATTAGGAATTCTTACACTTATATTTCTTTGTTATAAAACTTGTTTAATGAAACGTAAACATTTCTTATCTTCTACAGATTACCAGCTATACATTAGAAACTTGAATCACAGACAGTTTTCAAAGGATAAGTGACTTGACATCAGCAGCTAGCAGATATTAATGCATTTCAGATTTCATTTAATCCAAGGACACTTCAAAGAACATATCATATCAACAAGACAGTTAATATAACTTTAACTCTTACAACGTTAAATATCTTCTTTTTTTACAAAAATATTTATCATTTTAGGGAAATTGTCAAAAAACTTATTAACTCAATAGCGAACAGTGCAGAATAGTTTAAATTTAAATTTAAATTAATTAATTTGTGTTTTGTTTTTTATTTATGATGAAAACAACTTAATAAATCTGCAATCAAAAGAAAAAACATAAAACAAGGTATGTTATCCGATGAGACACAATACTCGTGGCACTGATCTGTCATTTTCGCCGCTGAATTGAATGGTTTATTTTTGCTGGTCCTTTGGGATAATCAGGTAGTTTCAATACACTGATTTTAAAGTCAAATACTGCTTAATGCTTAAACCGGTGCTAGGGTGCATGAGAGATGTCTTACCGATGAGTTTCTCTTTTGAACAAAATCGATTATACCAAGTATAAAATTTTCGTATTAATGAGTTTGTTTTTGGTTGTCTCGAAGGAGCCTCAATCTTTCTGGACTTTTTTATATTGAGTACCGCTCAAGCATGTCAAGCCGGTTCTAAGGGGCCTCAGGGATGTTGCACTTTTTCATTATCCTTCATATACAGACTCAATCAAACTGAGTCGTTATTTTGTTGTGATTATGCTTCCGAGGAATCGATATTTTTCCGGATTTTTTTTACAAACACAAACCATTCCTCCAAGTTTGATATTAATGGGGCTCTAAGTTAAATGTGTTAATCTTTCATGAGACAAAAGTTTAGTATACACTGATCTACCAAGCTGAATACTTAGAGGATAGTATGTACAGCCAGGTAAGGGTGATGTCGACTTTTGCAATGTTGTACAATAAATTTGTTGGTGGTTTTCACTCCGGATCACGACAGTTAGCCACATTGAATTTACCAGAGCACATTTAAGCCACCGCATCTTACTAGGCAGGCTGTCAAGTAGTTTACCAGTACAAGTAGCCTTCACTTTTGCAAAGACAACCGCAACGAAAGTGAACTGAACGTCCGGAAATCGAACCCAGATCACCAGATTCACAGTCAAACGCTCTATCTATTTAGCTCTATCGTAATAGAAACCAAGAATTTGTTATCTTATTCATAGTTTAATCCTTCTTCATAATGACCTTGAGATGCCCTTTAAGATGTTAATTATGGGAATCTTTCACAAGTATTTAAGCAATTTAGTCATCATATTATACGATCAATTATTTTCACCGTTTTTGATGACCTGTCTCATATATCATAGTAAAAAAACTGAAACAAATGTCTCTTAAAATGAGAAGATGTTCTGTGAAAATACTTCTTGTTAATGGGAAAAATAAATTAATAATATTGTCCATACTTAATCAAGCACGCGGAAAATTTGATTTTTATATTAGAAATTACGCAGATCTTGATTGAAACAATCATTCGACTGATCATTCGTTATTTAATGGTAAAAGTCACTGAAATCCCTTGATAAATCAGTTGTGGATGATCGGTAAATATTCAACCAAATACTATGACAAAATAAGATATCAATGGACTAAATTATAGTTATAAGGACCAAATGCGAAATGTAGATGTAAAGGTTGATGTAAAATACAGGATATTCGACATAATACGTTACAAATCTGACACAAATACAAATATAACAAAGCGTGTTCATAAAAACGCTAATTCCACAATTAAACGCTGAGAATAGCAAAGCAAAAATGGGTCATAATTTATAATCATGAGTTAACTACACAATTTACAGAAGTACAAAATATATGTTTTGTAACTTATATGCCATAGTCAGGAAGAACAGACAGGCGGACATAGTGAGGGAACAAACTCTTTTATTAATTGTATGTTAAACGATCCATGGCTATCAAATGCTTTCAATATTTCTTAAAATAGAGAATAAATAAGAATCCCTAAAGAAAGCCCAAAACGGCAAAATTGAAAATGTTGCAGGCTCGGTTTGATTGAGTCTGTTCTTGGACGGCACTGTAAAGTGCAAACTACCGTCCACGCCCCCTAGCAAACGCTTAAGCAAAATTCAACATTTAAACATGAAATGGTAAAATTTTGAATTTAGAAACATCCGCAGATGTGTTCATATGGCGGTTATCGGAGACCCATGTGTATGAAAGACCTTTGAAGTATAATGTAAACTAAATTTGTATCACTTTTGTTTATTAGATATTTTTAAATCCAAAACGAAAATTGTTGGAATTATATTTATGTATTAATACACCAAAACGTAGTTTTTGATATCCATGTATGCATGCATAAATTCTTTTTGTGTTATTCAGATAAATATAATTTTTATAAACATTTCTGTGAATAAATTGAAACATTTTTTATTATTAATTCTGTTTCTCGACAGATATTCAATTAACAACCAACAATTTGCGTGTTGTATTGCAAATTATTCTCAAGGCAAAGGTAAATATTTATTCAATAGAAGACTCATCATTGCATGCATTTATCAATATGCATGTACGGGAAACCCTGAGCATATAAATGGCATTGTCAATGTTCAATAGCTTGCATATTAATATAGGAAAACAAACTTGAGCAAATTATCATTTTTGTAATGACGCAAAAAAATGATTTGAAAATTGAAATAACAAGAACATATATTATTGAGTACAAATGCTTACAATTATAAATGTTTGAAACAATTTTGTTTATATTTTTAATATCCTTTTTTATCAAATAGGAGCAGTTTTTCATAAAAATCGTTACAAGTTAACTTTGGTAAATCGACCTTAATAAATTAGTCTAGATAATAAAGATAACTACAAACAATAAATTATCAGTGTGTCGCTCTTTACCAATTTAATCTTGTAATTCTTACAAATGAACACTAACCTATATTTAAATGGTTTGAAAATAATAAAGTCGAATAGTTATTGCATGGTTCATCAAAGGAAAACAAAATGTTACTTCCACATAAAAAGATTTATAATGATTAATCTTCAAAAGGACAACAAATTTTCCCTAATGATTAAACATTTACATTACATTTAACAAATTAGTAACACTGTTATTTCCATAATGATATACAATAAACAGACTGAAATTGAAATTAATACAGAAGCCTTTGATTGTTCAAATGTCAGCAAAAGTGTTGAATTGTAACGCCACGGAAGCCGCATTCACAATTACCTTTTTTGCACTTTCCATGTTTTCCTTTCTCATTAGACCGACAATGAAGGTCGATTCAGTACAAGTTAAACGTTGTCTGTGTAGTTGTTTTGTTGCACTATACACACGGTAACTCCGCGACTCTTGTTTTAGGTTATACTAATAAACTTTAGTTCGGATATGTTGGAAACTATAAGATTATTGAAACACTCTCTAATCCAGGAACCAACCAAAACTAAACAATGAATGTAAGGTTTCTTGAACACGGAAACAACAGCTTGACTGGATGTTATTCCACGCGGTCAGCAATCCTTATATGACTTGCCCGACTCGGCCACGACTCTTGTGTTTTGTCAACGAAAGAACGAAAATAAGCTGCGTATTTTTATACTTTTGTAGAAAACCCTTTTTGATGACTTTGTATTAGGAATCCTCACACTCATATTTGTTTGTAATAAACCTGTTTAAGGAAACGTAAACATTTCTTATCTTCTACAGATTACCAGCTATACATTAGAAACAGGCATCACAGACAGTTTTCAAAAGATCAGTGACTTGACATCAGCAGCAAGCAGATCTTAATGCATTTCAGATTTCCTTTAATCAAAGGACGCTTCAAAGAACATATCGTATCAACAAGACAGTTACATAAATATTGCTTTAACCCTTACATAGTTAAATATCTTTTATTTTACAAAATTATTTATCATTTTAGGGAAATTTTCAAAAATAAAATTATTAACTCAATAGCGAACAGTGCAAAATAGTCTCGCAATGCTCGCTCTTCCGTCAGAACAGAACATATTTTGAAAATTAATTTAAATTTAAATTAATTTATTTGATTTTTATTTATAAGGAAAAAAACTTAAATAAATCTGCAAACAAAAGAAATCATAATACAAGGTATGTTATCTGATGAGAGCACTGATCTGTCATTTTCGCCGCTTAATTGAATGGTTTATTTTTTGCTGGTCCTTTGGGATAATCAGGTAGTTTCAATACACTGATTTTAAAGTCAAATACTGCTTAATGCTTAAACCGGTGCTAGGGTGCATGAGAGATGTCCTACCGATGAGTTTCTCTCATGAACAAAATCGATAATGCCAAGTATAAAATTTTCGCATTAATGAGTTTGTTTTTGGTCGTCTCGAAATAGCCTAAATCTTACCGGACTTTTACATTGATTGAGTACCGCTCAAGTCGGTTCTTAGGAGCCTCAGTGATGTTGCACTTTTTCATTTTCCTCCATAAACAGACTCAATCAATCTGAGTCGTTATTTTGTTGTGATTATGCTTCCGAGGAATCGCACTTTTTCCGGGTTTCTTTTACAAACACTAACCATGCCTCCAAGTATGATATTGATGGGGTTTTAAGTAAAATGTGTTAATCTTTCGTGAGACTAAATTTAAGTATACATTGATCTACCAATCTGAATACTTAGAGGATAGTATGTAGAACCAGGTAAGGGTGGTGTCGACTTTTGCAATGTTGTACAATAAATATTTTGGTGGTTTTCACTCCGGATCACGGCAGTTAGCCACATTGACTTTACCAGAGCACATTTCAGCCACCGCATCTTTCTAAGTATTGTGTCAAGCAGTTTACCAGTACAAGTAGCCTTCACTTTCGCAAGGAACTCTTAATTTCTGTACATGTTAGAGCAGAGGTACCGTAGAAAGGATTTCATGATCAACCACAACGAAAGTGACCTGCAACGTCCGGAAATCGAACCCAGATCACCAGATTCACAGTCAAACGCTCTATCTATTGAGCAATTTCATGATAGAAACCAAGAATTTATTATCTTATTTAAAGTTTAATCCTTCTTCATAATGATATTGAGATGCCCTTTAAGATGTTAATAATGGGAATCTTTCACAAGTATTTTAGCAATTTAGTCATCATATTATACGATCAATTATTTTCACCGTTTTTGATGACCTGTCTCATATATGATAAAAAAAACTTAAACAAGTGTCTCTTTAAATGAGAAGATATTCTGTGAAAATACTTCTTGTTAATGGGAAAAATAAATTAATTATATTGTCAATACTTAATCATGCACGCGGAAAATTTGATTTTTATATTACAAATTACGCAGATCTTAATTGAAACAATCATTTGACAGATCATTCGTTATTTAATGGTAAAAAGTCACTGAAATCCCTTGATAAATCAGTTGTGGATGATCGGTAAATATTCAACCAAATACTATGACAAAATAAGATATCATTAGACTAAATATTAGTTATAAGGACCAAATGCGAAATGTAGATGTAAACTTTAAGATGGATGTAATATACAGGATATGCGACATAATACGTTACAGATCTGACACAAATACAAATATAACAAACGCTGAGAATAGCAAAGCAAAAATGGGTCAAAATTTATAATCATGAATTAACTACACAATGTACAGAAGTACAAAATGTATGTTTTGTAACTTATATGTCATAGTCAGGAAGAACAGACAGACGGACATAGTGAGGGAACAAACTCTTTTATTAATTGTATGTTAAACGATCCATGGCTATCAAATGCTTTCAATATTTCTTAAAATAGATAATAAATAAGAATCCCTAAAGAAAGCCCAAAACGGCAAAATTGAAAATGTTGCAGGCTCGGTTTGATTGAGCCTGGTCATGGACGGTACTGTAAAGTGCAAACTACCGTCCACGCCCCCTAGCACAGGCTTAAGCAAAATTCAACATTTAAACATGAAATGGTAAAATTTTGAATTTAGAAACATCTGCAGATGTGTTCATATGGCGGTTATCGAAGACTCATGTGTATGAAAGACCTTTGAAGTATAGTGTAAACTAAATCTGTATCACTTTTGTTTATTAGATATTTTTAAATCCAAAACAAAAATTGTTAGAATTTTATCAATGTATTAATACACCAAAACGTAGTTTTTGATATCCATGTATGCATGTATATTTTTTTTTGTGTTATTCAGATAAATATATTTTTTCTAAACATTTCTGTGAATAAATTGAATATTTTTTTATTATTAATTCTGTTTCTCGACAGATATTCAATTAACAACCAACAATTTGTGTGATGTATTGCAAATTATTCTCAAGGCAAAGGTAAATATTTATTCAATAGAAGACTCATCATTTCATGCATTTATTAATGTGCATGTACGGGAAAACCTGAGCAGATAAATGGCATTGTCAATGTTCAATAGCTTGCATATTAATGTATGAAAACAAACTTGAGCAAATTATTATCATTTTTGTAATGACGCACAAAAAATGATTTGAAAATTGAAATAACAAGAACATATACTATTGAGTACAAATGTTTACAATTATAAATATATGAAAAAAAAATGTATATTTTTAATATCTTTTTTCATTTTTTTTTTGTCAAATGGGAGCATTTTTTTTTATAAAAATCGTTTCTTTTGTAAATTGACCTTAATAAATTAGTCTAGTTAATAAAGATAACTACAAACAATAAATTATCAGTGTGTCGCTCTTTACCAATTTAATCTTGTAATTCTTACAAATGAACACTAACCTATATTTAAATGGTTTGAAAATAATAAAGTCGAATAGTTATTGCATGGTTCATCAAAGGAAAACAAAATGTTACTTCCGCATAAACAGTTTTATAATGATTAATCTTCAAAAGAACTAATATGTTATATTTTGAAAATAAAATTGATTAAATTATATAAGCAATAAGTTATATACTTTAGTATGTGATTCGAGACAATGTTAAATTAACAATGTTGTGTGATTCAATCTTGGAGAGAAATGCATAATCATTATGCATGATTATTTTTTTCTGACGGAACACGATACATTTTCTGTTTCACGTAGCACGAATTAGTATTAAATATACAATTTTAATGAACAAACCCAAGCCAAGATATATTTAAAACTTTGGTGAATACTTCATTCTTGTTCGATTTACGAGTACGTGTATTCATAGAATTGAGGGCTCAATAAAAGGTTTATCTATTGTTGATAATCGCTATTTACAATTCATCTTGAAGTTGAAAGAGCATTTTCATCCTGTAATAGATTATTCCTGGTAGATAGTCAGACTTTGGGGAATACTTCATTCTTGTTCGATACATACTCAAGACCTATGATTGACTCTCGCCATTTACAAAACAGCTTGAAGTTGCATTTACATCCTTTAAATTAATCAGTCATTGTCAATTAACTTTTGAACTATATCTTAAGTCACAGTATTGACATATTGATATTTGTATGATTTCGATGTAAGTATTTTCAGCAAGCTGTGACTAGCAGTCTTGTAGGAGGGATGTAATAACTGTTACAATTGATATCGAGATATGTGTATGTGATATTGAGAACAATCAACGAGAGATAAACCTTCATCTTTTCTTCATAAGCTGTAATCATACACCTTGCCTATCCTAGCACCCTGTGAACGAACGGTGGGTTGGTGAATGAATGCGTCGGTTGGTGACAGGTCGGTCGGTCATTTTCCTTCATTAAGAGTGAAAAAAGATGTATAAGGCTAGAACTGGCAGATGAATTCAAACTTATTGTGGTGTAGATTGTAGCGGTTTGTGTGTTTAGATATGACTGTAAAAGTAATTTTGCCTTTCACTGCGAGAATTGTTGGATAGCTTGGGTAAGAGATCATCATTTAAGAATTAGATAACTATACAACTAACCTGGGTTTTTTTTGTTTGTTTTTTTTTTGGGGGGGGGGGGGGGTGTTGTTGTTGTTGTGTTTTTTTGTGTTTTTTTGTATGTGGGTTTGTTTGTGTATGTTTTTTGTTTTTTGTTTGTTTTTTTTTTTTTTTGGGGGGGGGGGGGTTGAAGGTTTATTCATATTTATGTTTTATACAAGCATTATGGTTTGCAAGGAAATATAGATTGAGATGCGATAATTCTAACATTAAACAAAAGAATCGATGTCATTTTTACTTCAAATTCATTACAAAGCAATATTGGTGTTAGGGATTTCTCTAGTCCCTATACTGGTACCTGTTATTCCATTTCCAGTTTACCGCCTAGATTTCCCGCTTCGTGGTGTTGTGCTGAGTTGTCTTAAAAGAGATTCTGGTAAAGTTTTAAAAAAAACATATTTTTTCATGTTCTTACATACTCCAGAACACCTAGTTGCAAGCTATTGTCTTAGATTGGTCCTTTTGTGGTTGCTTAGAATACACCACTGTATATCAAAAGCACTAATACTGCAGGTTCGACTTCCCAATGGATGTGCTCCATTGGCTTTGAAAGAGAGCTAAGAAAACACTTACATTTTTGTTAATGTCATTTTTATTTTATTTTATTTTTATTTATTTATGTTTTTGTAGTTATTTATGACGATACACTGTTACTATGTATTGTCACCTACAACCAAATATATTCCCTAGTCCGGACATTTACTACAAATGTTTGTTTTATTATTACATTTTTCATTATTATCTTTAACACTTTAAAATCATTTATGACGTCAATTATTACGTCAGAATACTGTCTTTATGGTCGTCTGCTTTGAACGATCTCGTTCTCTGCTTGTTGAAGTCAAAATTGATATGCGGAACATGTGCACCTTTTGCTACTGTTGCTGGCGATCCGACGGGCGACGCCGGCATGTGTGGTGAGTTTGAAACGGGCGACCCGACGGGTGACGATGTTGTATCCTCAAGTGTTGACGATCTTGGACGATTAATCTGAAAACAAACAACCTATATGATGTTAACATTTTAAATCACACCCACCCTCTAAATGTCAGTTTTATAATTGAGTAATACATTGTATGTTTTTGTATTTACTGATTGAGTACTTTGCTACTTTATCATATTCCCTCCATAAAAAATTGGTATTGCATGGCTGTGCATATATATTTCGTTACACAAACAGCGTACAGTAAAACGCGTTAAATTTTAGCGTTGTACTATAGACGCGTGAATGATTATTTTTCACTTAAAACGGTCTCTATTTCCATATCAAATTCGTGTTAGTTCATTGCTTAATTTATTGATCTCATTTAATAAGATAATATTATGCTGGCCAGATGATCGCATTATATTGTTTTATTCAACTCGTTCAATTACATCTAATTCAGTATTAAACTTTCACTCAATTACTTTCTCTATCTATGTACTGATTGTATGTATAAAACTTTGTGTGTTTAAAGCGACATTTTACCCATCTTAGTGCACAGATGAAAGTAATTAAAAAATTTTACATTTTGCCATGATTGTTCATAATTTTTGCATTATACGTCGCAAAATCAAATAATCAATAACCAAGGTGTCTCATAAAAATTCTATAAATATCCTTCACCATTAACCTGTTACATTAAATTGATAACAAGGGTGGGCAGTTCTTTTATATTTTTAGGCGATTCTGATATTTCATCCTAATGATTTTTGGTCAATGACTATAACAATAATCGACCTTTTGAAAATTTTAACATTTTGAGGTTCAAATGTCTAAAACATATAAACAAAATATAATTTCGTTAATAAATCATCTTGGGGCACTTAAAAATAGAAAGATATGTAAAAGATTTATAAATATAAATATTCTCTTACTCGGAATTATTAAAAATCGTTTTATGTGGAATTGTAAGCTTGATTTGAGTGAAATTGTTCAATTTTTGGTCTCTTTTTTCACAAAATTTTAAAATAATTATTCTACATAATTATTCTATAAAAAGACGTAAGCGAATGATCTGAAATTTTGCACACAAGTTTTTTTGTCTAGACCTATATCAAACGGAACATTTTTCTCGGAAATATATTTCCACTCACGTCATGTCAAAAAGAACTTAGTGGAGTCCCTTTAAGTTTAACTTGATAACGAAAAAAATGAGCATAATGTCATTGTAAAAAAGAATACATTCTTTCTACACCACATATGTTAACTGTAGGCCATTAGGAAATGGTCTGTATTTATCTATTTAAATGACTGAAGATGAACAACATATCTATCATCATATATTACTATACGAGCCAAATTACAAGTTCAAAAAAGTTATACAAACTAATGTCACCTGTGATTTTCACAGACATCAACTTTATGTCAAATCTTGCATTTTTAATGATTTATAACTGTAACAAAAACTTCTCCGGAGGTAAATGAATAAAACAATGTTTTGTCACCTTTTATGTTTTGTCACTGTAAAAAACTGACAACCATAAATCAGACCTTGGCATTAGCTTTTTAACAGAACAGAACAGAACAAAACAAAACAAGTTTATTCAACAACAAGGCATTGAACTCATGGTAATGGTACATTGTAAATGCATGTTGTTATATTTATTTTCCACATTTTTTATCTTTACTTAAATTGGAATAAAGACATAGGCAGAATTTAAACTATTACATAAAATTTATTATCTTTGAAAATAATTAAAGAAACGTTGCAAAATTTACCAAATTAGCAGCAAATATTTTGCACGTCAATCTATTTAAATTATCTGCCCTTGAATTTGACTTTTGAAAACAATGTGTGCTCCCTTTAAAAAAATGCTAAGCAACATCGGACACACAGACGGACGGACGGAATTCAAAGGGTATACTATTAAAAATCTTAACTAATATTATCAAACTATAATATTAAACGTTCCACATTAGTTGAATAACACGATTAAATTGTTGTTGAAAATATTAAACTGGTTCACATTTTTATGACACGAACAATACGCGCTGATTATTCATGTCACTCTGCCGGACTATTTTAATTTGTCATTTCTTGAAGCAGTAAATTATTTATTTATTATAATGTGACAATTGACGTGATAAACTACGACTTATTTGACAATATCCATCCGTTCATAAAAACTGCACGATCTTCTTTTTTCACTCTTAATAAATAACTTGAAAATTGAGGTCACAATGCACTACTTTCCTTTGCGGAAATAAAGACAGCATTGTGTGTGTGCTGACTTTTTAATCACCAGTCATTGTGTTTCGTTTAATAATATAAATACAAATGTGTAAGTACATTAATTTACATCTAAAAAAGTCAGTTCAAGTGTTAACATACAAATCAGGATCAAGTGATTCTGGTTTTATTTCCATTGCACATTATGCTAGGAACTTAAATTGATCGTACTAGGCTAGCCTTAAAAGGCACATTATGCCTGAAACTTACATTAATCATACTAGGGTAGTCTTGAAGGGACATGATGCCTGAAACTTACATTTATCGTACACTACTAGGGTAGTCTTTTAAGGCACAATATGTCTGAAACTTACATTTATCGTACTAGTATAGTCTAAAAAGGGACGTTATGTATGCAACTTACATTTTCGTACTAGGCTAGTCTTTAAAGGCACATTATGCCTGAAACTTACATTTTCGTACTAGGATAGTCTAAAAAGGCACATTATGCCTGAAACTTACATTTTCGTACTTGGATAGTCTAAAAAAGGCACATTATACCTGAAACTTGCATTGATCGTACATGGCTAGTCTAAAAAGGCACCTTATGCCTGAAACTTTCATTTATCGTACATGCATAGTCTGAAAAGGCGCATTATGCCTGAAACTTGCATTTATCGTACTAGGCTAATCTAAAAAGGCACATTATGCCTGAAACTTGCATTGATCGTACTAGGGTTGTCTACAAAAAGGACATTATACCTTAAACTTGCATTGATCGTACTAGGGTAGCTTAAAAAGGGACATTATGCCTGAAACTTGCATTGATCGTACTAGGCTAGTCTAAAAAGGGACATTATGCCTGAAACTTGCATTGATCGTACTAGGGTTGTCTACAAAAAGGACATTATGCCTTAAACTTGCATTGATCGTACTAGGGTAGCTTAAAAAGGGACATTATGCCTGAAACTTGCATTGATCGTACTAGGCTAGTCTAAAAAGGCACACTATGCCTGAAACTTGCACTGATCGTACTAGGCTAGTCTAAAAAAAGACATTATGCCTGAAAATTACAATGATCGTACTAGGCTAATCTAAAAAGGCACATTGTGTCTGAAACTTACATTGGTCATACTAGACTAGTCTTAAAAAGCACATGATGCCTCAGAAACTATTTTTTTCTTCTTCGAAAAAGGCAAACAGTGACTTTTATAATGTTTAAATACTAGTTGTAGAGCAAGCGAGATGTATATCATCTGAAGAAAGAAGTTATGAATATGAAATAATTTGTCATAAATGAAGCAAAATGTAAATAAAGAAATGTTCTGACTGCCATAACAAATACTTAATCACTTTAACTATATTAACGGTAAAAAACGGCATACAAGTAATTTTTTGTAAACTTTGAAACGACACCAAAGATAAAATAAAGTATTAAAGCGATTTGAGACATAATTGGCGCTTTAAGTGGCTTATTAGATATATATTATATAAAATGTTAGAAAAAAAGAAATCAGAATAATAAATTAGAATCTGATTGATAGTTAGATCAACATTTAAAAGCATATTTATTCAAAAGGGAGTGAGAAACTTTTAAAGATTTTATCAAGTGTCCTTACATCATTACGACATGTACTTTCAAAGGCCCATTATGCTTTTATTTTCATATTTCTAAAGTTTTTTTTTTAAAAATTCATAGTATCCAAAAATTACTCATTGGCCAATAACCTGAACCATCTTTTTCTTCTAATAAGTTTTAGTATTTTGTATGGAAGTCAAAATACTACTTTGTTTACATTTTGCTATTCTTATGACAAATTATTTCACACTCATCATCTAACATTCTCTAAAACTATTATTTAAACATTATACAATTCATGTTTGCCCTATCAAAAGAAGTAAAAATTCAGTTGTTTCTGAGACGTAATGTGCCTTTAAGCTTTATATCCTGAATTTGATCCTGGTTTTGATCCTGATTCCCATACTTTGTGAACACTGAGCCAAATTTAAGCTACCTGAAGTGGCTGCCCAGGTTTCTGCTTGTTCCACCAGTGTGTTTTGGGAACTTGTGGATTCAATTCCGGGTGAAAGTGATGGTTGGTCCCCATCCTTTCTCTGAATTCTTTCTGGTCCATTTTCTCTAAACAATGAAATAAGTGCTTATAAAGCATGAAGTTTATCCATATCGATACCCCCTCCGCGAAATCTACTGAACGGTACCCTAAAAAAACCATTTCATTCTCGGTTGACAAAAACAAATCGGGACAGATAACAACATAATTAATTTGCTTTCTCCTGACAGTTTATATGAATTTTAAATGCATTTTGACTTTTAATTGCCATTTGTTGGAAGATCATCTACAAATTAATACATGTATGATATGCAAATCGGCGACGGACTACAAAATCCAGTAAATATTCATTCTACAGATAAAACTGGAGGAATGTCGAGAAAAAATATATTCTAGAATACAAGAATATTTTAGCGATGATTTTTTTGTTATATTGTCCCTTTTCCAATTATTGCAGCTCCATAGTAAGTTTCACAAAACCGCGATGTTTCGACAAACCTAACGCCCGGGCATGTTCTTTGTGACTCCACGGATGATTTTTTACTAACATTACAGGACTTGAGATATTTTCTTCAATATTTTATTTTACCATTACCATTATAATGGTTTGAAATGTTCACACAATACATATTACGAACAAAGAGGGTATCATTTTAGTAAAGTTCGCAAAGATAGCAACGATATGGATAACTTTAATCCTGCTGTAACTGAAAGTTATTAGCCCTGACCATGATAAAGTCAGTCCAGTCTGCACATCCGGGAAGTCTGCTAAGGCACACTGAGTTTTGTTGATAAATTCTATATTATCTAATATTGAAATTTCATAAACTTTGAAGACTGCTCTTAATTTATTACAAAAAAACTATGTATTTTAAGCTAAACGTAATATGTTTACATCTTTATAATTGTTTACTATAAATAAAACATCGAAAAAATAATTTTATCAAATCAAAACAGACATTTCTTATAAATGAATACGCTTCATGACTAACAAAAGTATTTGTGGAAAATAAATCTGTTGATATTCTTTACTAATACATGTACTAGAATAAAGAAAAAAACGGATACCTTTTCGTTTTATCCAAATGTTTTTGTTTAACCCTTTCACATTGCTACCAGAGCTTGTTATAAAGACATAATGTTTACCAACAGAGTGCGGTGAAACAGCGCGTAACGATCAGGGAGACGTTACATCACAGTGACGTAATTTACGTAATATACTGAAACAAACAACACCTTTGTAACGAGTGCATTACTCATTTGCACTAATATTATAAAAAATATAACAAAGACAAAACATTTTGATACCATTTAATTGACGAGACAACTTGATGAATATTGTACTTCATTTATTCACATAATCAAACTACGGTGTCTCGTCAGGGCCATCGCGACACATACGTAACTCGAGACCACGTAAAAAAACGCAAATATGATGGTGAAAAGTCGAAATAATGAAACCACGATGGTGAAAATTTGAAGATACAATGATGAAAAGTCGAAATAATATCACGTTTTCGCAATCGTGGTTTCTTTATTTCAACTTATCACCTTTACGTCATAGTACCTTCGACTTTTCATCATATCCCGGTTCAGTTATTTTAGCTATTCAACAACGTATTTTCGTTGGGGAGTGTGTCGCGCTGGCTCTAACGGGACACCGTATTAAACGGCTGATCTGTATTTTATTTTTTTAATTTAAACTGTCTAGAATGATAAGTAAATGTTGCTTTTCTATGACAGCAAGATAATCTCGATGAAGACTGCATAGAAATCCAAAACGAAAAAGGGTAATATAGAGGAGAGCCAAGGAGGGTAGAATCATGTTTCGATTTTCTTAAAAAAAGGTTTAAAATTCTATATAACTGTTAAAAACGTACCTTGCGATTGACCTTATTTTACTGTCACATCTGGTGTTATGCTTTTACTTTTAACCGACTCTCATTTTTGAGATCTATATGGGGTTCCACCCCGTGTTGATGCATGTATGTGGTCACACGGTCACTTCCAACCTGACAGTCATTGGTGCATATATGTAATAGCAAGGTCATTAGCAGTGAATAAGTTTTCCAAGTAAACTTCAATCCAGGTTTATGATAAATTGAAAACACCAACCAGGCACCTCTGTAACACAAAATCTATAAATCCTCTTACTTATCAGGTTAATATAATTAGTAATAGCATGCTCGAAGAGCTGGCCCGAAGGGCCTACTCGCAAAGCGAGCTTTACGGTAACGCGAGTACCTGATAGATAATGTTTCGTCGGAAGTGGGAAATTGACACATCGCAACTTTTCGAAGTACAAGATAACGATAAAAGCCGAGGTTTTCTGATTGAAAACGGATGCGTATGCCGATCTCCTGCGCACTTTTATGGGAACCATTATAGGACAGAGAACCAGAATGAATAGAAGCAGTGTATGAAATACCGAATGACAGTTTTAAAACTAAAAATGAACGATTATTTTATACTATTTCACGGTAAAATAAATCGAGCTCGCCTTAAGGCTTTGCCTTTTTCATATCAAACAGTTTTGTATCAAATTCTTTTCATATCTAGTCATTTACCCTATTAACTAGATTTGACCATCTGTTTCCATAAGCCAATCAGGATGTCGAATTAAATACAACTTGCGTGAAGTAAAGGGGGACAACTGCGTAGGAGTTTGAAACATGATAAACAAGAAACAAAAATACGGGACACGACATCCGCCATGTTTTGTCGTGTAAACGATATACAATGTAAATACTATCTTTATGTATTATCTCCGAAACCTTACTCATGTAAATGATATTCGAAACTTTGTCTTAAAAGAAGAAACAATAGCTGCATTGTTCAGGAAGGGGTCTATTTTTACGGAAAAAATAGTTTATATTATTTTTGGAAATGCTAATTTTTGTATTGTTCATAAATTGAAATCTTATAATAACAATTCAAAGAAGCGTTGCTTGTTGTTGGTGTTGTTGTTTTTGTTGTTGCTGACGTTCTCATCGTCGGCGTTGCCGTTGTTTTCGTATTGGTCTCTTTGTTGACGGATTATGCATGTCACAGACTTATTCTATCAAGTTGCTGGACTTTCTTTTCCATTGATGTCTTATGAATACATGCCTGTTGTATTAAAAAATAAGCTTACGCTTTATTATTATTCTATAATTTTTATTGCAAATCGATCAAAATGCAAAATATCACAATAATTTGAATTAAAGAAAAAAAATCAAGAAAAGTATGGAACTCCAGCGCAGGCTTTCTGATTAATGATAATACTAAGTATGTACCAAATACTGTTCCAATTTATCGCAAAACACATTTATAATGCAAAATAGCACATTATATGTCGTTATTGATGATAAGATGTTAATGCATCTTTTTTTGGACCATTTGTGAAGCAAGTTCCGCCTGCTCATCGTTATGATGTGAGCATAACATAACGGATCATGTCACTAAAGATATACTATGCTCATTCTTGAGTAAAATATTTAATCACGGAAATTTGTTGAAATTAATGAAATTATAACTGGATATGTCTAATTTGAATAAAAATAATAAAAAACTATGTATAGGAATCTGCGTTACCTATTACAGGTAAAGTAAAGTTGATTTTTTTTTCTTAAAAAAATGCCAATTTTTTTTAAAGACCCCTATATTCACATTTGCCCCACCCCCTAGGGGATAATTTTTTAAAACAACATAATCACTTTTGGGGAAATCAAAACATGTTTATTTTATATTTACAATGAGATTATGTAGTAATTATCAAAATTTTCTGACATAAATTTGAGCATAGTATATCTTTATTGATTTAGTTCAGTAACCTTAATAATAGATAGGCTAGTACATATATAAAAATGCAAAACAAATCAAGAAATAATCATGACTAAAGAAGACAGTTCCGTCGTTTATAGAAATAAACGATTCAAGTATGTTTACTTATGAATAAATTAATAAATAAATAATCATGATGCTAAACACACCTGTAATGAGAATGATAAAAGTGACAAACTATGGAATAAAAAAAATTCTTAAAATCTACAAAAGAGAAAATAAATGTGTCAGTTATTTTGGGTTTGTTTTCAAACACGTGATAAATTCTTAAAAAACCGTGACATTCAGTGGGTACTTCAGTTTCTGCTGCTACAGTGTACACTCCGTGTGCCATTCATTCCGAAACACAGCAGATGTGCGACCCGCTTGAAACACTTCCTATCATCATAACACAAATTCACTGCTACGACAAAGATGAATTCATAACATTTTAATAAACTTTATATTATGGAGGTCACGTTTCCTCTGCTTCATGACTGCATGTTATAAAACCACTGATACATCTTGTATTCGAATCGATGTACATATTTGAGCACTATGTATTCCTCATAAAACATTTATTTATCACTCCTTTGACAAGTATGGCCTACCATTGGCGACATCAAATTAATCGGTACATACACACCCATTTCCATGGTAAGGAATTCAATTAAGTTAAACTATTAAAGAAATTACAAAAACAAAATAAAGTAAAATTGTATCGAAAAAAAATGTAAACATAAAAACTACTATACAGCAAAAAATAAATTATAGTCAAGTTTAAGTTTTCTAGATACATTATTTAAACATTATAAAACAATCTAATTATTAATGCATATTATTTCAAACTCGAAAATTTATTTAAGATTTTTTTTCTTTTCCAATTGTCTATTTCATTTCATTAATGGTCATTAATTTTGTTTCACTTTAATTTCTACTGTCGGTTAAAATTCATAATTTGATAATGATTATTAGCCTATGTGTGATAATGTGATAAGGGAAAAAAAAACTCAGGGTTTTAACCCCGATAGTATTCATATGTTTTGAACTTTTAATCTTAATCCAATAAAATTCATATTTTTTTCAACACAGAACAGTGAAAGGTTAAATAAACACATTTTAATAATGAAAAATTTGTCGTATTTTTTTTTATAAAACGTTCCATTTTTTTCAAAAAAATAATTGGGATATAGACCTCTTAGTAATTTTTAGTTCCCTTTTTAGTTTTTAAGGGAGTATTTAAAACATTTGGTTTGTATGATTGTAACGGTAACCGTTCTTCCTAGTTAAAATGTATAATACGGTGCTCCTGGTTTTTTCACATAAAATCCACAAAGGACGGGAAGTTTGTTCCTTTTCGCTTCATTCAAAGAGTGCACATCTTTCTAGTTCTCTCAAATACATCGAATGTGACATATGAACTGTGTCCCAATGCACTTGGTTCTTAACACGTGACAACCATTTTTCCACGTGCGGCCACATCTTGAATTTCGTGCCTGACCATTCGGCTTGTAATAAAATCGTTGCAACAAAAGAGTCTGCAACAGTAATTCTGTTGCCTGTTAAAAATTGTGATTTTTCAAGATATTTTTTCTCAAGTATTTCAAGTTGACGACTGAGTAATTTTAGTCCGAATTCCACTAGTACTTCATTGGCCGATTCCGACGGAAGTGCGTATTGCTCAAGGAATTGTGGGTAAATATAGGTGTGGCCAACAGCTCTGAAAATAAATGGAAAAAAAATATATCAGTACAATTCATCTTCAATTTGTTAAGTGTTAAAATATGCGTTGAATCATGTAATATCAATAATAAAGAACAGCTTGACTTTAAAATATAATACATAAACATGTAAAGTTACATGTTATTTTATTTAATCATTCACAATTAATTTCTTCCTCTCCATATACGTAAGAAGCAGGAAACCATAAAAGCTGAATCACGGGATATACCTATTGAATAAAGAAAAAAAAATTGTGACGCTAATCCAGTTTCACATGTTGCGATCCATTTCGGATCAAATGATAATAAATGTTCATTGTCAGATTTTTCATTTTTACCTATAGAAATTATAGAAAACAACATGGACCGGTTATGTAAAGAATCTTTTTGGATACATAAATTAAATACCATGATTCCAAATGGACTAAATAATAAAGTATTGTTTGATTTATAATGCGTTACATGAATATTACTGTGTTTGTCTAATATGAAAAAGGCAAAGCCTCAAAGCGAGCTCGATGTACTTTTAACGTTAAATAGTATGAAATAATCGCTCATTTTTATTTCAAATGAAGTGACGAGTGCGTGTGACGTCACACGTACTGTGTTAAATATTGCTCCGCCCCTGTCGTTAAATGAATAACGAGTTTTGAAAACGTTGATAAAACTTTGTTTAATTTTATTTCACTCTATAATTTTTCAAGCGAAATAAAGATTAATATGAAAAAGGCAAAGCCTGAAAGCGAGCTCGATGTACTCTATAATTTTTCAATCGAAATAAAGATTATTAAAAGTGAAATAAATGTAAATTCTAACACGACCAGCATTTTTCCCTATTGAACATAGAGGAACAGAAAGTGTGTGTTATTATGCAACAGATGCACAGTTTGACGTTCTATATTTAGATATGTGACGTAATCATTATACACGTGACGTAACCACTAAAAATCCGACGCGCTGAAAATAAGTACGGAAACAAATCAGGCGCAATTTTGCTTAACTATCAAGTACGGCAACATTTATTTGTTGATGTCGTGTTAGAATCGAAATAATATATCCAAATCAGTGATTTTATCGCTTGATAACATCACTGTTTGTCGTTCGGATGCGCATCATTATATCACTCGGGCTACGCCCTCGTGATATAATTCCTCGCATCCGAACTCCAAACAGTGATGTTATTGAGCGATAAAATCACTGTTTGGGATATATTATTTCTTAAATAAATGTAAAACTTAAAACGTTTGCGACATTAAAATAGCGTACTTGATTTGATTGTTTTGCACGTGCTGTTTGGCGCTACATTGTGACGTCACGTAAACAATACTTTAAACGTCTGTACAGCGTTAACGACTGAATAAAAGATATTGGTGTTCGGATTCATTTTCTTAGTTAGACCATTTTCTTTCATTCTAGATAGTTTTCACAACAAATTTCGACAAAAAAATGTTTTTATTTATCAGATTTTTCAAACAAAATGGCGCTTTCAATTTTCATTTTACATTTTCCGTTTTAAAACTGTCATTCGATATTTTATACACAGCTTCCGTTATTCTGGTTCCCTGTCCAATTATGGTTCCCATAGACGTGCGCGGGTGACCAGTCTACACATCCGTTTTCAGTCAGAATTCCTCAGTTTTTATCGTTATCTTTAAATTCGAAAAGTTGCGATGTGTCCAATTCGGTACTTCGGACGAAAGTTTTCAAAACCATCACTTAGCAGGTACTCGCGTTTCCGTAAAGCTCGCTTTGCGAGCAGGCCCTTCGGGCCAGCTCGTCGAGCTCGCTTTTATCTTATTTTTATTAACACTGTCTAATAGACATCTGTATCACTGTTGATCCATTTTAATTCATGTACCAGCTTTATTTATAGCATAAATATTTGTTTCTACATGTTATCATAGTTTTGCCGCTAAACGCCATAACGTTTTTTCGCGCGTTTAACGCGTGTTCCGTTATGACGTCGCTTCCGGTAATTTTATTATGTTTTGCACTGATGAAGGCATATAGCCGAAACGTTAAATTTAATTACTAAATGTTCGTGTTTGTGTGGCTTGTCTGATTATTGAATAAAGCAGAATTCGCGTGACATATCTTTATATAGATGACTGCGTTTGTGTTTAATTATCAGCGACATTTGCCCGCGTTTTTCTTATATCAGAGTATTTGAACACAGTTGTTAATGTGGTGTCGTTTAATACTAACCTGTGAAGTTCTGAGTTTGCCCAGCTAATGAGAGACTCGGTAAGAAGCCTGTTTTGTAACGTTATTCCATAGCCAGCAAAGTCTGTGTAATTTGTTGCAAGGTATGTTAGAATGGCGGGTCTGAAAAAGACGAAACACAGTCATGAAACTGAAATATGTGAGAGGAAATTTCTCCGTGATAAGCCTTTATTGTTAAATGAGAATTATTGTTTTTGGTAATGAGTTTATAGTATAGTCACCATGAATGTAGCTGACAGCAATCTTAATGACAATTATAACATTGAAGATTACGATGAAGACAAAGTAAGTGACAAAGAAGACATAGGAGATCAGGCTATAGACACAGAAGATGGCGATGGTACATTGGAGTGATGATAAGGACTTGAGAAATGATGCCGATTGCACAAAGGGTGACGATGATCAATGATATTAGAGGTGACCATTATAAATTAGAGGTGACGCGATGATGACACTGGATGTGACGAATATAACATACGGGGTCAGGATGATGACAAGAGGTGACGATGATGTCATAGAAGGTAAGACCCATAAAACAAGAGGTAACGATGAAAACATGTGAAGTGACAGGGAAGGTGACTTTGAAGACATAGAGGACGACACTGACATACTGACATAAGCAAACATATTGTGACGGAGACAACAAAGAAGGTTAGAAAATGGTAAGCAACAGACGTGATGAAAGGAACAAACATGATAAATTTGACGACAGAAACAATTCAGAAAATGACCCAAACGATATAAAATGACGGTGACATGATGAATAAAGACGGCGATGATGTTGATGGTGATGTAAGCGAACATGGTGATGATATCCAGGATGATGACGATAGTGATGAAAATAACAATTTTTCTCCATCTTGAAGGTAAACGAACAGAACACAAGATACGAGTAGAAAATTACTGGATATAAACTTAAAGGTATACTTACATAAAAATGAAAATAGAAAACAGATAACTTACGCTTCAAAAATAAGAAAGTCGCCGTCTATTAGAATAGGCACTTCTCTGTGTGGGTGTTTGCGTATAGACTCAGGCAGGTTAGCTTCTCCTTTCGAGAAATCCACGTCTATTAATATATGTGGGATGTTATGCTAGAAATAAAAAGAATTGCTTCTTATGACAAAAGTATTCTGAAAATATATATTCTATAAATAGACAAGAATAATCTAAAAGTAAACTCTGGTAGTCTATAAATAGAGGAAAAAACAAGGAAAGACTCGTGCAAAAGAGAAAAGAAAATGTATAAAAAGAAAAAAGAAGCAACAAAGAAGTAACTCAATTTTATCATGAAATATACTTAAATAAAAGTGTCTCATTGAAAACAAATATCTGGTTTACTTTTGCTTGCTCTTTTTTAAAAAAATGGTTGTCATGAATAAAGCCAGATCTGATCGATAACCTCAATCGCACTTTCATTATTTTTTTCTTATTATAATAAAAAGTATATTAGTAAAACGCACGAGAGGCACGTACGTAGATCTCATTAAATAACCATGAGATTGTATTAGTTAATGTGAAATATGCAAAATAGAATGGTAGTCTAAAATGGTTGGACGAGCTATAGCATGATGGTTGACATGTTGTCACCTTAGAGCAGTGACGGATTAACTCCCTTTAAGTTTAAGTACGAGTTCATCTGTTACTGCACAAAGCCTTTGTGGCATTAAGGTGGCGACATATGATTTCAATACAGGTTTCGTAGGTTCGAGTCCCTTCCGTGGACATGCTCGTAAGAATTCGGAAATGGATTTTTCCAAGTTTTAATCGTTTATTTTAATATACTGTCAACAGTTCTCGGCTTCATGGATAAGACCATGTTTACTTATATGACACTGGTACTAATCATTCCAATTAGTTTTCAAGTACGGTTTATTTTTAAGTAAACTTTAACATTTGTTTCATAATTGAGCAAAAAATATATCGAACAAAAAATAGATTTATTTTTTCTACATATTTACATACCAGAAATATAATAATATTCCTTAACTTATAAGGAAAAAAGAACAATATTTAATAAAATGTTTAGTAATACCTGTAATGCGTAAAACCAAATTATCCGACAAGCTGGGTTTATCCGAATAAGGTACAGTTCCACAGGTCGCCGGTGAACTCCGTTTAACCCGTTCATCTTCCCGGAAAACACTGCCGTCGAATGACGGCGAAACTTTCCATGATATTTCGCCTCGCTTTCAATGCCTTCCTCCTCTGACATAATTTATGTTTGTTTTTAGCACCTCTCCGGTGTCAAAGTAAATATTACTTATGCCTTTTTTAAGTATTTTTCGCACCCTTTTGACATAAGTTAAACTAATCTCCCTTCAAAGGAAAAAAAAATGGTTTCAAGTTTCCGCTTGAAATAAAACTGTCCCTTTAAACCTGTACGTTTGTTAATCCTTTGAAGGCTGAAATAAAAGAAAAATATTTCAAATTTGTGATATTTTCTTTAATTTAAAAGTGGATTAACGAAACAGTTAAAGTTGTGCGTGTTGCTAACCACTTATTTATTACCAAGTCACAAAGATCAATGCATCCTGTAATTAAAAAGTCTTAAAAGTTTGAAATGTAAGGTTTATTTTAACCTCTCTATATTGAAACGCGCACAAAGCCAAAATAAATTAATTTTGTTTATGTATTGGAAAATCAATTTACACCAGCTTAAAAGAAGGTTCTTTCGTTGCACTGTTGGAGACATAAAACATTAAAAAGGGAAGAAAAAAGAAAGATTTATTGTCACAAAATGTACCCCCACATCAATAATAAAACTCTATTAACCCAACAAAGTTTTATTTTTATTGTAAATATAGGTCAAATGTGCACGTGTCGCGCCCCCTTTCACCCCCAAAACAGAATGGGCTCAACCCCCTCGGGCAACCCCCTGATGGAACATTTTGATGGGGGCGGCGCCGAAAAATTGGTCACTTTTTTAACAACATTTCTCAAATGAAAAACATTGTTTTTGGGTCTAAATAGGGCATTTTCTTGTGCTTATTTTTCTTCCTTCTTTTATTATCAAGATTTTCAAGTCGCTATTTTCAATTTATTTTGTACACCTCTCTGTATATAAATAATGTTTTCTTGTTGTATTTATGAAATTGTTGTGAATATTAAATGTTGTTGCTTTTTCCTTACTTTTTGGAGCAATAGGTGTCTGGACAAAATATATAGTTTTCTAAATGATAATTTGTTAAGTATTCTGAAATAATAATAAATATTTCAGAATTATGAGTGATAAATTTTATGTAAATATGTTTAATGAAATAAATTCATTTCAATGCAAAAAAATCAACAAAAAAACAAATGTGCCCGTGTTGCACTTTTTTATTATTATTGTATTTTTCTCTTTTTACCACATTTCTAGAAATGTATTTTGATAATGTAAATATGTTTAATGAAATACATTTATTTCAATGCAAAAAAAAAAAATAAACAAAAAAACAAATGTGCACTTTTTATTTCCCCCCGCCGATGGAATCGGGAGGGGGGTATAGTTTTGGCGTTGTCCGTCCGTCCGTCCATCCGTCCATCCGTCCAACCGAATTTCGTTTCCGGAGTAGTTCTCTGCAACTACTGGCTGGAATTCAACGAAACTTTATGGGAATCGTCAATATCAAGAGGAGATGCGCATATCGTCGGCTTGATCCGGTCCGACCCTTTAACTCAGAGTTATGGCTGGAATTCAACGAAACTTTATGGGAATCATCAATATCAAGAGGAGATGCGCATATCGTCGGCTTGTTCCGGTCAGACACTTTAACTCAGAGTTATAGCCCTTGATTAGTTATGTAGTATGCATATTGAGTAAAAAATCGTTTCCGCACTACTTCTCTGCAACTACTGGCTTGAATTCAACGAAACTTTATGGGAATCATCAATACCAAGATGAGATACGCATATCGTCGGCTTGTTCCGGTCAGACACTTTAACACAGAGTAATGGCCCTTGATTAGTTATGGAATATGCATATGGAGTAAAAATCGTTTCCGGTGTAGTCCTCTGCAACTACTGGCTGGAATTCAACGAAACTTTATGGGAACCTTCAATACCAAGAGGAGATGCGCATATCGTCGGCTTGTTCCGCTCAGAGTTATGGCCATTGCTTAGTTATGCAGTATCCATATAGAAAAATATTTGTTTCCTCGCTACTTCTCTGCAACTACTGGCTGGAATTCAATGAAACTTTATGGGATACTAAGAGGAGATATGCATATAGTCGCCTTGTTCCAGTCAGATACTTATAACTCAGATTTATGGCTCTTGATTAGTTATGTAGTATGCATACAACTCATGGGCATTTCCAGATTTTACTATTTAACACAAAGTTATGGCTCTGTTATTGTCCTGAATATTTATCAAGTTCAAAGAATATTTCTGTTTATGTCATGATTAATATATAAATAAAGCCTTATGTTTTCGGTTGTTGTGTTAATAATAAACAGTACTCGGCGGGGGATATAAATTCAACATATTTGCTTGTTATTATTGTATTTTCCCATTTTACATCATTTCTAGAAATGCATTTTGATAATATATTGTACCATATCCGTTTTTAACTATTCGGCTTTTTCCGTCCATCTTCGGGTTGCGAATTATTGTCGATGTGTTTCCATTAATACCATATAGTACATAATAGAACAAAAAATCTACACGCGGTCTTTTTATGAATGATATAAAAGATTTTTTTCGACAATCGTATGCAATTTTTAATAATAATTTGCTATTTCATTCAAAATATCTAAATTTGTAGCTTTAACAAAGGGGAAAAAAATTACCTTCCATACAAACATATAATTGGTATAAGTATTCAAAAGTAAAGCTAGTTATAAAGTTTATAAAAAGACAAACTAACGTGCCAATATATTATTTTTTTTTAATTTATGTATGAAAAGTTAGGACTAATGCCAGACTTTTCAATAAAATTTCGCAGTTTGTGAATGTCGGTCAACTTCCTTTAAAAATGAGTGAGTGAGTGAGTGAGTGAGTGAGTGAGTGAGTGAGTGAGTGAGTGAGTGAGTGAGTGAGTGAGTGAGTGAGTGAGTGAGTGCGTGATTGCGTGAGTGAGTGAGTGATTGATTGATTGAGTGAGTGATTGAGTGAGTGAGTGAGTGAGATGAGTGAGTGAGTGAGTGAGTGAGTGAGTGAGTGAGTGAGTGAGTGAGTGAGTGAGTGAGTGAGTGAGTGAGTGAGTGAGTGAGTGAGTGAGTGAGTGAGTGAGTGAGTGAGTGAGTGAGTGAGTGAGTGAGTGAGTGAGTGAGTGAGTGAGTGAGTGAGTGAGTGAGTGAGTGAGTGAGTGAGTGAGTGAGTGAGTGAGTGAGTGAGTGAGTGAGTGAGTGAGTGAGTGAGTGAGTGACTGAGTGAGTGACTGAGTGAGTGACTGAGTGAGATGTCATATATCTTCAACTGAATAGAACTGAAAAATATACCTTTATTAGGTTGGAGGGCGAAAGCGAGGGAGATAGCGCGGGAAGGACTGAGGAAGCGAGGTTGGAAGGAAGGATAGAGCAAGGGAATTAGAAAGGGAAAAGGGATCGATGGAAAGAGGGGTAGCGAAGAGAGATAGAAAATGTAACCGGGGTTGATGTAAGATATTATATATTTTTTGAAATTTATATTAAGTTTAAAGAAAATGAAAATTATACCTTTATGATAGTCCACGTGTCATTTTGATTTAAAGTACACACATTCTTACGTTAACACCGTTTATAAAATACAAATATGATATTTTCATTGACAATGTTTAATATTTATATCAAGTGTCTAGGGTAAATAATCAGATATAGAAATATTTGTACAACAAACAGCCAAAATAGTATGGACACCGCTACCGTTTGTACAGGATTGTTAGTATTTAACATAGTTTTGTAACAATGTAACAATAGGGTAGAGAAAGTCAGTTATTATATCCAATTTGTAGAGCTAACCTATTTTAAGTACATAACTACTTAAAATATTAAAGCCGCTCAAGAACAGCTTTTTTACACGTTTATTCAAGCTTTAAGAATCTATTTTAAGTTTCAAACAGCCAAAAAAGGAGCGCCTTTGTATGGAAGCCTTTGAGGGTCACTTTTGAGTTTCGACTTATAGATTTATTTTACTATTTTCTTATGACTTTTGATTTGTGACTTTTGATTTGTGACTTTTGATTTTTGACTTATGGATTTTGTTATTGTCCCACGTGCTTCCCTCATAATTTCCAAGGAAAATATGGCAGAATATGCCAACGATTCAGACGAGGTAAGTTCATTTACCTAAATTTCCTGGAGACTTATTTAAAAAACAAAATATGTGGGCTCATATGCAAGAACAGAATGTTATTCTTATATAAGCCTTTTTAATTGATTAGGAAAAGAAAATACTTTGCTTGCATTGCATTGCATTGGGTATCCATTTTTTATTTTGATTTCCGTAACAGGCATATATAATCTCAAATTGACATACAGCGTATGAATCAAACGCTTTATTTTTTTATATGGGTTCCAAATCCAAAAAAGTCTTGCATTGTTGTTTGCTGCAGTTTCAATCGATTTTCACCCGTAGTTCATTCTTCGTCCATTTTATATTGAATATAGACCAAATTATAGGACTTATTTTGACAAAGAAATTTACAGTTAAGAAGTTTCATGAAAAATGGTATTTCAAAATCAATAAATCATACAGCTTTGTAACTTCACACACTTGTTTAGAACACGCTCTCAGTTAGAAATCTCTGAATTTCATTGTTATCAAATTATGCCTCGTTTTCGACTTTGAATTTATGGTTTAGAATTTTCATGAAAAAATAGTTTCTCAAAAACTATTTTAGCGATTCCTTTGAAACTAAAAACACATATTAAGTGCTGACATCTAAGGTCAATGACCAAGTTTCGTATGAGTGGCTCACAATTTGACATACTTATGTCCATTTTTAAAGCTAAAATGTTTTGTCAGAAGGTTTATGAAATATGGTCCCATAAACCAGTTATGATATAATATTGAAACTTCATACACTAGTTCAGTTTCAATAACTTAGGACACCTACCAAGTACAAAGTACATGTTATTTGTATTAAAACTTTTGTATACAGTTATGTATTAAGGGATTTTTTGTATTTCATTGTGTATATATACGTATTTCATTTCAATTGAGATAACACATACTTTTAATGTTTTCAATTATAATTCTAGTAAAGCTACCTGTAGGAATTATGGACGTCCTGTCGAATGGTTTCATCTACAAAGCAGTTGCAAGAGCATCAGCAATACATATTTGTCAAGTTTTAGGAGCCAGTTTAGAAGACTAAGAGGTTTCATTGCAAAAGAGCGTTCGTTCCGAGTGGAAAGTAGTACAGTTTAGCAAATGCAAAATGTTCAAACACTGGTGATTTGGTTTTATGCGTTATTGTCTATGGAAATATTCAGACATTGTC